GTCTCGGCCGGTAAGTGGTACTAAGCACTCAAAAAGTTGATGGTTCAGGAAGACACACCTGAACTTGGGGAAATTGAGAGCCTCAGTTGAATTTTTCAGAAAGAGAAAGGAGAAGCACAGAACAAAAAAACTGCACATGGGGAGTGAGCTCAGTGGAGCGTACGTTATTCAGGCGGTCGTGGGGTCGTGGGGACAGCAGCCCCCGCGGGCAGGCTGGCGTCAGTCTCCCCACACTGTGTGGTCCGCCTTTCCTCCGGGCTCTGCCCCCACCACAATCTTTCCTGCTCACTCGCTCTTCTCGCCAGTAAAACCCCTGAATCTTTAATAAATTATAAACATGCTTTCCCGTCCATCTGCGGGCGCCAAATCTCAGCATTGGCAGCTTTTGCCATTCCCCCAGAGTCCTAATAGATCTTGCCATTTGATTAATCTTTTAGAACCTTCTCCCAGAGAGCCCAGCCTCTGAGCCGACTTCTCACGGAGTCCAGTCCGAAGGATTTTTCTCCACCTCTGGGCCTTGTTGCTGCCAGTGCCAATGTCCCCAAGCAGGGCGGTGTGGTGCTGGGGACAGGGGGGCAGTTAGAAGTCACGGGACCTGGGTTCAGCTCGCCTGAGTCACTCTCCAGGTGTGTGACCCTGAGTGAGATTCGGAGCCCCCAGGTCCTCTCTTCTGGGGAGTGGAGGTTCTCAGAAGCTGTTTTGAGGGTCTGATGAGAAAGTGGAAACTCTATGACCAGGGTCAGAGGGAAGAATCCGCGAAGTCCCAGGAGCCAGGCTGCCTACGCCATCGAGGTCAGAGCAGTGCCCTGCTGCCCACTCTCCCTTGGCCTGTGTACACTGGAGCTCTTGGGAGGATCACCACCCCCCAGATAAGAACCGCCCCCGTCCTTTATCCTGCAGGGGACGGGAGGGGAATGAGGTCCCAGGGCACGATTGCCCGGCCTCCCGCCAATGCCTGTCACACCACCAAGTTCTGCACAGTTTAGGAGGTTGAACTGGGTCGTCTCCAAGGCCCCTTCCTTTTCGGAATCATGAGTTCATGGTTCTAGTCCCTAAGCGCGGAACAGGGCATGGAGGCTGGTTCAGCGCCCGGAGCCGTGCTAATAAGAATTCTTGTGGCCATTTACTCGATTGCTGTTAAACACCTGCGTGTTGTCTGCAGTCTGTGGTCTTCGCCGCAAGCCTGTAAGGGAGGTATCTGTCTGCATTTTAGAGGTGACACACCGAGGTTCTGAGAAGGCAAACGATGTACCCGAGGGCCCACAGCACAGTTCTCAATAGAGTCAGGGTTCAGACTGACATCACAGTCCAGCTTCCTTTCTCTAACACCGATGCTGGCTGCTTTGCTCTCCCTGCCTCCTTGCACCCCTCGGGGCCTCTCAGGGACCCTCACCCTCTGTCAGACAGGACAGAACCACCCAATGGGAGCAGTACTCTGCACATTTGAACTCGCTCTTGAAGATAATGGCCCCGACGGGTTTGTCAAGCTTGGACTATTCCCTAACAACATAGTAATAATCTAGGGGGAAAACTATGCAAATTAAAAATTGTCTCCACTTTCCAGAAGGAAAAATGGGGCTCGGAAAGGTCAATTCAATGTCCAGCCACACAGTCGAGCTCATGCTGCAAGATGGTCTTTGTGGGGTTCTGTCACATCAACCATCTTTATTTGGGGTCAGCTACAGTTAGAGCTTCTGATTCCTGTGCTCTCTTAAGCAGGAGAGCCCAACCCCTTTCCTACAGATGAGCAGACAGCAAGCTGGAGAGGAGGTGCCCAGCCCATAGTCCTACAGCCAGTTGGTGGGGTATGAACCCACTGCAAATATTCTATGAACCATCTCATGCGGCACTCAACCTGGGAGTACAGAACCATGCCAGGGCTGGGACACTACCCCATTTCTCTCTGTCCATCCCTACTTCATCCAGCACCTCCTTGTCCGTGAAGACTTCAGCAGCCCAGGTGGCGTCATGTCTGCCTCTCTGGTCTGCAGGTGCCCATGTGTGCGTGCTGCTGGGCCCTTGTGCATTTACACGCCTGCCTCCCTCAGCTGCATTGGCCAAGGCAGGAGAAATAGCTTCTGTCTCCGGAGGCTCTCTGAGCGGCTCCCACTACCACCCTCCCGCACCAACTTGCCCTAAAGAACTTCCATCACCAAGGCTGGGGTTTGGGGTCCCTTGGCCATCCCCAAGGTAGTGCCAGCACCTGAGCCTTGGCCCAACCCTGCCAGTCGTGGTCTTGGGAGTCACTCGGGTCAGTCTTTCTTTTTGTCCCCTCTCTGACAGAGACGAGGAGGAGATGATCACCCCTCGTCTCCCTGACATCCACCTTCTTTCTTTCAGCACTCACCATGCTCACTGCTGCCTCCCCTGCTGCCTGGGTCTCCCAACTCCCTCCACACCCTCACGGACCCTGTAGCACAGCAGCCGAGGGCCTCCCTCCCCATCCCACCAACCAAGTCCATCTCAACTAGCCTCCCACCCTTCTCCCTCATTGATCCTAATTTAAACTCAGGTCTCTATAAGAAAATAGACAAGTTCAAGACCTCTTCTCCCTGGGGGCCATGTCCAAACATTTTCCTTCCCATTTTATAATAGTTAGCAAATGCATATAAATCACTGCCCAAACTTAGTAACTTAAAACCGCAGGAATCGTTGCTTATCTTCATAGTATTTGTGGGTCCGGAGTTCTGGGAGGTCCAGCGTGGGGCCACTGGGACTTCTGTCATCTGCTGGCTGGGCTAGAGCTGGGGGATGCCCCCCTAGGGTGGCTCATTCATGCGGCTGGCAAGTTGGTGGCGGTGGGGGGAGGGCAAGAGGCCTCTCTCTGTTCTCCCACGTATGAGCATCTCTCCACGGGTCTGCTTGCATGTCCTCAGCAGCTGGTTTCCCTCCAGGTGGCCAAAGCAGAGCCTGCACTTTTTCTATGAATTAGCCTTGGAGGTGTCACCCACGGTCACTTCCATCATATTCTGTTGGTCGTGGGAGCTAGCCCCGATTCCATGAGGGACAGAACAAAGCAAGGCATGAGGACCAGTAGGTGAGATTTGTTGGACACCTTCGGGGTTGCTGGTGGCCACACCTTCAAAAACCATTAGTTCTTAAGTCAGCAGCTGAGCTAGGAATGCATTTCCCAAATCTCTTTCTCCCTTTCCCCGTGAATGGGCATCTAGTATGCTGAACTCTTGTTTTGGGGACATGGAGAGAGACAAGCGTCCTTCCCTAGAGATAGGGGACTAGTTCCTAGAACTCATAGTCAGGTGCGTAAGACTGTCCCATCTCCGAAAGTTCTAGAAAAGAGATCTGTTCAGAATTACAGAAGCACAAAGGACAGGTCGTTGCTTATGTTGGGGGAATGGGGAAGGCCTTCACAGCAGGAGGCACATTTGCTCTGGGTCTTGAAGGATGAGTAGGAGATCATTAGGTGGAGAAAGGAGGAAGGACGCTGCTCCGTGCAGAAGTCCTAAGATGAGCAGTGAAAGAGAGTTCTGGAAGCAAATGATGCTGCCACTGAGGGAGGTTTCAGGGGGCTGTGATAGAGAGTTTGGACCTTCTGCATCAGGAGCCACTGAAGGCTTCTGGCCTGAGGAGGGCCTGCACAGAGCTGTGTGGTGGACAGCAAGTGAGTGGCAGGGGCAGAGGGTGGAGGCAGGAAGACCAGTTAGTAGGTTGCCCCAGGGATCCCTGAGAGGAATGAGGACTCTGGGAGCCGGGCCCATGGGAACAACAGAACAGGAGAGGATTCTAGAGGGTTTTCTTAGTAGACGGAGCTCACATGATGTGGTGAGGCGTTGTCTTTGGCGGGTTGGGAGAGCAGGGACGGGGAAGGCCTGAAGGTCATGACTGAACTTTCCACTATCTTTTCCCCTGGGGCCTTCCTTTCCTAATTCTTGGCTCCTGGTAGGTGACCCAAGCCCAGCTGTGCTTAGGCCCTGAGCACGAGGGCCCCGCTTTCTCTGCGCAAATTCTCCTGTTCAGTGTTTGCTTTTGGAGGAACGTGTTCAAGTCTCAGGGAGGCCAAAGGAACGTCAGGCTCGTTGGCCTAGGATTGAGACAAAGTATGAATCATCTTCCCAGAGAAAAACAAAACCAAACCACAAACAACCCACACATTTGCATACACTGCTTTGCCAACGGTATCAGCCGGCTCCCAGGGCCCTGGAAGTCCAGCCTTGGATCTCCAGACCCCCAAACTCAAAGCCCTGAGCCGAGGACAAAATTAGAAAATGAAGAGAAGAAACATTTGACTCCCCAAATGTCTGTTATTTACTTCCTCGTTTGATACCACTCCGTGTAATTGGACAGCCCCTGGAAGAGCTGGAAACAGGAGGAAGCACTTACCCAGGGAGAGTCCCTGGTGGCACCAGCATCACTTGGCGGGTTTATTTTCATTATTATAGTAATTTTCGGGCTGCGGGCTACAATTTTCCCTTGCAGCGAGGTATTAAATTGAAATTACCCCAGATGTAATTGTCACACGAAATGATCCTGGACACGTGGAAATGAAAGCTTTTTCAAGATGGAGTTTTATTGTCTGTGCCAGGGTGTTAGGGCTCTGCCTGGTTAAACTTGCCAGATTTCCGCCTGTGTGGCAGGAGGTCAGGAGTCAGCATAGGGGGGATGGGCTGCAGCTGCTGGCCCAGGACACGGTGAAGCCTCTGTTGACCTGGATGGACACAGACCGGGGAGCAGAGCCCAAGACTTGGGGGAGGCTTTGTGTGGCCACTAGGAGCCCCTGTGCATGAACTCGTCCCGCATTTATGTTTTGTATGCTAACTTAACTTGGATCCAAGCCCAGGTTCCCCTGTGGAGGTGGGCAATTTAGCTTCAGTCGTTCTGGGCTCTCCCTGCCCTGGGGTCTTCACCCGTGCTGTGCAGCTGGGGTGGTCCCCCCAGACGCCAGGCCTCTGTCTGTACTGGGGACGCAGTGCTCTTGGTTCCAGCCGTTTAGATCTGCTTTGCCCCCCAAGGCCTTATGCGTCCTCATGCCTTTCCTCCCCCAGATGCACCCTGCTGGTCTACTGCGCTGACCTCCCCCCCACCAGCATCATCATCACCTTCCACAACGAGGCCCGCTCCACCTTGCTCAGAACCATCCGCAGGTAAGACGACCCTCTTCCTTGGCCCCACCAGGCCCCTCCCTCAGGAGGGGGAATGGCCCTGCCGGAAAAACATCGGGCATTTCTGACTCCATGCCCGCATTGTCTGACACACTCATGCATCCATTCCGTCACTCCCCACACTCTTGTGGGGGCAGAGCGTAACCTTTTTCATAGGGGAGAGACAGAGGGCCACGGTGCTCCCCAGCTCGCCTGTCACTGGCAGCCACAGAGAACCTGGAGCTCTCGCCCTTGACCGTGGTACTAGACTACCTCTGGAATGAGTTCTAACACCCACAGCTGCCAAGGTTGTGGAGGCTGGCGAGGCGGAGTCCGTACCCAACCCCAGCATCAGGCTGGGATTAGAACTTGCGTCTGCCAAGTACCGCCTCTCCCAGCACCCGCCTTACCACACGTGGCCAGGAGCCGTGGTCCACATCAGAGCAGCCCGAGGGCAGTGGCTGACCTTTGCTTTCCTGGCCATCTCCCTCTGTTCCAGCCCCGCCCCACTCTATCTCTCCACCCACCCTCAGTTCTGAGTCTGGACCCCACTCTTGCTCTAACAGGTGCATCCTTCCTTTGGCCCATGGCCTGCATGAGTCTGAGACATGCAAAAGTCCCAGCACCAGCTCCCAGCAGAACTCTCCTCAGAACACAGTCGGGGCCCTGGGGGCTTGGCCCTGGTTGTTTCGGCTCCCCTTCTGCATACCATGTCCTTCTGTAACTCTGGAGCTCCCATACCCCTCTTCCCCTCCCTCCATCTGGTCCCCCCTTCCTCTTTTGGGTCTTGGGCTGCATTGGCATCTCAGATGGTGGCAATGGTGACCATTAGTCGGGAGGCCCCTGGTGTGTAGACATGCCTGGGCTCATGCTCTCAGCTGGGGAGGTGTGAGGCTGCTGCTATACCCAGTCTACAGCTGAGAAAACTGAGGCTCAGAGACACTAAATCAAAGCCTCCTGTTGCTCAGCAGTGGTGGCGAAGCTGGGTTCAAACCCTTGCTCTCTGACCTCAGTTCTTCTCAGCATTCTTCATGGGCCAGGCTGGTCTCCGGGTGGTGTTCAGCAGCCCTGGTGTTGGGGCTGACCCTGGGACAGAGCACATGCATACGTCCATGCCCCTAGGACACACGGCCTGCATGAGCCCATCCCTGTCTGGTAGCTGCACAGCACAGGGTCACTGATCCTACAGGGAGGGAGGGCCTAGAGAGTACAGTCAAGCATGGCAAAATCTCTCGTCATTTCCATCACGAAGCCACACTTTCCTGTTCCTGGTGGGGGGCAGACAGGGAAGCTCCAGGTGGTGGGAGGGAGTCAGTAATAGGCTCACCCTGATGGCGGGCACCAAGTCTTGGGGACCACCTGTCACTTACAATGAACGTCCTCTATGCAGTGTCCATGCATCCCATGGAAATGCAGGGATGGACCTGCCCGAATGCACAGCTTCCCCCTGTCCACAGGGGCAGCTCTCTCTGCTGCCCAGATGTCCCTGGCAGCTGGCTGGCTCATTCCTTCTGCCAGCTGCTTGCCCTGTCTGTCCTGCCTGCTGCATTCACCCCACCAGTCCACAGATCCGCACCTGATTTCCCAAAAAGCCTTCAGATCTTAACGAGAAGATGTCCTGAGTCACTGTCAGGAGTCACCATGAGCCTTGCGGTAGACGAATAAAGTACCTTTCGGATTTGTAAGCCTGAGCGGGTGTGTGTAGGGGCAGGGGTCTGGGGACCTCCGATTTACCTGGGTCTTTTCTGGTGTGGGGAGAGCGTGGTTCCTGGGCTGGGCAGGGTGAGCAGGTGCACTGTCAGAGCTGATTGCTTTGACAAAATGCCAGACCACAGCCCCACTGCCGTCATGGTCTGCCTGGGCATGAGGTAGTTTCTAGAACAGACTTAGGGCAGCCTCTGCCTTTCCCACCATGGTGGTTGTTCCACAAGGTCATGTCTGGGCATGTATGCCAGATGTTTCCATGAGGACACTATAGGATCAGAGAGAGGCTCCTTGCCTTCTGGGCTGGCCTCCCTTCTTCCTTGCAGGAGTCCTCTGACACCAGACAGCTCCACCCCCTCAACACAAACACACACACATATACACACACATTTAGGGCCTTCTTCTGGGCTCTTTACTGCCCATCTCAACTCTAACACTTAAGGCACTTTTCCCAGATGTCATCTTCAGGGAGCTCCTTTAGGGCAAGGACTACATCTTATTCATCTCTAAGTTCCCTGTGACTCAGTTGCCTGGTCAGGGAAATGGGAATCATGACCATAGCTACCACACGGAGTTGCTTTGGGTTTAGTCAGCTAAGGGACTGACCACTGTGGCTAGCAGACATTAGCTATGTCCGTATCTGCACAGCGACTGGGCTTTCAAAAGAAAAGAGACTGTGGGTCCCTGGGGTTCGGTCCTTCCTTTGCCACCTCCTAGCCATGTGACCTTGTGTCGATGACTGACACCATCCATAAGGGCAGGGCTAAAAATATCTTTCACATTTCCAGTGTTTGCAGTTCTATCACATTTCCCAAAAGAAGACATTACCTTGGGACATTTGAGGGTGTTCAAAGACCCCATGGGGCTCCCAGCCCCCCCATATTTCCCATACAGGGTCACTTCAGCTGCTGTCCATAGACTCATCCTCTCCAGCTCTATGACATACTTTCCCTTCTCCTGCTACTCCTCCATCTCCTTATAATTGTAATAATGAGGTATTATAATAATGTTATTAATATTTTAAATGTATGCTGAGCTTTATGGTCTCCAGAACACATTTCTTCTCACTTCAACTGCAGTCCCATCTGGAATCTGTGAAGTCAGGGTGCGTGAGGTGAATGGAGACCCCAGGCCACTGGGCTAGGAGGCACGGGAGCCAAGACTCGGGTTTCGGACTCCCTGGGGAGTGGGGGGAGGGACAGCTAAGGGCACAGCCCCAGCGACTCTGTCCGCCGGCCTGATGGGGGCTTCCCTGAGGCCTGGTGCACTGTGTTCTGAAAGGGGGCTTGAGGCCCATCAACACCATACTTTTCAGAAGGCCCCCAGGAAGTCGCAGGCCATACACCAAGCTGGGTGCTTTGCCAGGAGAGCCCTTGGATCTATTTCCCGCCTCTGAGGAACTTCTGATATAAACCAGGCGCCCGGGCTCCGATCCAAGCATGATACACGAAAACCTCAGAATGAGGGGAGGACCTGTGTGTGAACAGACAGGCTTTTCTATCCTAAGCAGGGTAAAGAGGAATTTTAGCGGGGGAAGCGAGGAAGATGACTTCTAGAAATTTCCATGGCAGGTATTATTTCCTTGGGATTCTCTACCGTTCTTACACTCCCTATCCCAAGGCACAAATAAATCAGTGGCCCTGAGATGGGACTGAATGAGGATCACTTCCTCTCCTGTTGTACCCAGTGTAAGGATCTTCTCTAGGGTATCCTCCATCATTCATGTTCCAGAATTCTGATGGCTTTGCTGCCAGGCTCTCACAAAAAGATGCTCAAGGGTAGGACTGAATGTACCCTCTCTTCCCCTCCCTTCCCCCAGCACTTGGCCAAGCCTCCATACTTTGTTCATCCCTGCCCAAGCCCTCTTGCCTGTTGAGCTCCTGAGTTAGCTGTGGGACTGGGAGCTGGAAGGGCACACATGGTGGCACTCAGAGACAGCAGAAGCCTGATGGGGATGCTGACGGGGAGGGAAAGAGTCACAACCCAGATCAACGAGGGTACTTCTTTCCTTAAGCAGAGAGAAGATAAGCCCTGAGGAACAGTTTATCTTGTCTGATACTGCAGGGGTTCCTTGTGTATATGTGAGACCCAGGGCTGTCCCCTTCCTTTCCGGGCATCCTTCACCCCTACCCACCCCCGGGGGGGCTCAAGAGCTTGTGCAGTTGATCTCTTTATATCCCAAATCTCCTTAACTGTTGCTGGTTTGTGAAACTACCCTGGATTTCAAGGAGCAATGTCTTAGATTAAGGTGGATAAGAAATGGGACCCTGGAGCCAGATTTGCCTGCTCTGCTACCCACCATGTGACCCTGGACAAGCTCCTTGACCTCTCTGCCCAGTTTCCTTTATTATAAGACGAGAGCTACTGATAACTGCCTCACATGGTGATGGGGAAGAGCGAGTTCAGGTGGGTAAAGTCCTTGACACAGCAGGTGGCACAGAGGGAGCCTGTGCAAGTCACAGCAGGTGTCATGATGGCCCTCCAGCCTGGGTAGGCAGCCGCCTTGTGTGGCTCTCCAGCCGGAGCCCACATCAGAAAGCCCTGGAGCATCCCATCCTCCGGATTCTAAGTAAGTCCAGAGTGGGGCCCAAGCACTTGCCTTTCTGAGTCCCCAGGTGACGTAGAGGCTGCTGGCCCTGGGATCACCCTTTGAGAACCAGAATCTTCCTTATTATCCATGCCCAGATTCTGAAAGCAGCTGCGGGGCCAAGCTCCGTGCTCAGCACCTTCCACGAAGCTGAGGAAGTTGGGTGTTGCAGGTTCAGTAGCTAAATACCTAAGCACTTTAGCACTGATGCTCTCAAGCCCGGCGTGGGTAGAGTACTTGATCCCAAGTCATCGGGGCTGCAGAGCACCCAAACTCAACTGCCAGCCGAGCCCCAGGTCTTCATTCTGCTGGTATTTATGGAGCGGTTGATAAACCCAGCCCGCGTAGAGCACCTCGGAGTTCACAAAGCAATTTCAAATACATTTCCTCATTCCAGATGCACAAAAGCCTGTGAAGTAGGTCAAGTATTAATATCGCCTGCCTTTACAAGGAAAATGTAATTACAGATGAAAACGAAGGCTAGGAGCAGCCTGGCGTCTTGTTCGGGATGGCGGACCGCCCGGCCTCCCACGCTGCTCACACGGCCATGCCCACCACCCCCCCACTCCCGTGGGCCCTGCCACACGGGCACGGCGGCAGCCAAGCGGAAGGTGAAGGTGGGTGCTGGCTGCACAGCCCCCCTTTGGCAGAGAAGTGAGCTGTGGCAAGGGAGGCCCCGTTCTAGAACAGTTCCCAGGCAGAGTGGGCCCCGGGTACGCCAGTGAGGCGAGCACTTACTCCCCAGCTGAGGCTGTCGAGAAAGGGCATGGAGCAGTCCTGGGAGAGAGAGGCTTATCCAAAGCTGGAGGAAAGGGAGTCTTGGCTCCGTGGCAGAGGGGCTAGTGAAGCGTCCTGGTGGACAGACTGGGGACAGCAACATTGGGAGGGGGAGCACAGAGCAACCAGGGGCGGGGTGGTGGGAGGGGCAGTGGATGTGCAGAAGGAGAGCCCTGGGGAGGACCATCTGGGGCCAGGTCAGCTCCCCTGGGCTACACTTGACCTTCCTCCTCCAGCCACCCCAGGAGCCCAGAACACCTGCCCTTCGCAGGCCCTCCTGGTCCAGACCCATGTTCCTGGAGCCCCCCGCTCTCACTCCAATTGCTCTGATTAGAGGAGCAAAAACAAGCCAGGTGTTACCAGGAAATGGTCTAATTAGCACTTAGTGCTGACGATTTCTGGATTGTTTTCTTTTTTAAACCCTGGACATTTTTTATTCGCTAATCATCTCTCAGTTCAACCAGCACGGAGCTGCACACGATTTACCTTTTGATGTTCACAGAAGCGAACTCTTGAATTTCAAAGAGCCGGCAGGGATTTGGGGGGGAATCGCACGCAGAAGCTGCAGCCTTAATCAAACCTCATTAGAGGCTATTCTTCAAGCAGGTTTTCCCTCTCTTGCTGGCTCCCTCCCCATCCCCCTTCCCTGTCTGATTACAAGACTGGTTATTGGGTCGGTGTGTGTTTTCTTTGGGACTCTCAATTGATCCCAAGTGGTGAGGGTCTCCCCCCACCACCGCCTGCCCCTCCCTGTCCCCACCTCCCAACAGCAGAGCTCAGGGCTTGGAGTCAGGGTTCCTCTCCCACCTTATACTAGTTGCCATGGTGAGAATTAAGGCTTCATAAATAAAAGTAGCTCCAGGCAAAGTTCTCCTCCTAGAGAGTCTCTGCACCCTGCTTAGACAGGGAGGCTCACCAGAAACAGGGCTCAGATCTGCCCTCCTGAGGGAACTCACAGCGCCTCCGCCAGCAGCGCCCTGTGAACCCCTCTCTGACCCGTGCAGGACCATGGGCACCCCACCGTAAGTGGTGTGGCCCCGGAAGTTGTCTGAGGAACCGTACAGTCTGGGGGTCTTTGGAAGTGGGTTACAGCCCCCTTTGGGAGATCCCAAAGGAACATGGAAACCCAGCCTCGCCCTGGGAGTCCAGATCCACAGCCCAGGCCAGCGCATGAAGTCAATCCCAAGATCATTCATTCCTACCACCCCAAAATAGCAGTAATTGCCACTTCGAGCCAGACATGGTGCTGAATCCTCTAGAAACAGTCTCTCTCCAATTCTCCCAACAGCCCGGTGAAGTAGGTACGGATGTTCTTATCCCCGTTTTACAGATGGGGCTTCTTGCTCCACAGAACAGTAACTAGCCCCATCACACAGCTTGTAAGAAGGAGCTCCTAGACAGTGGGCTGCTGGCAGGCAGAGAGGACATCCCCTTTGTTCTTCGTGGACCCACTGCTGAGCGCGTAGGAGGTGAGCACTACACATCCCTGGAGGGAATGATGGGCCACGGCTCTGGGCTGGCTTCTGGCAGCACAGAGAGTCCTGACAGGGACCCTGCCCCCAGGGACACGACCGTCCTGTGGGGCCAGCAAACCAGCCCTCAGAGTCGGGTATGATGAAGGCCTCGGGAAGAGGAAAGAGTCAGTGCTCACTAAGTAGCAGGTGGCTGTGGGGGAGTGGTGCAGTGAACGGGTCCTTGTGGCACAGGAGGGGCATTGCAGACCACGGCATCGAGGGAGACAGGGGTCCCCATTAGGAACAAGCAGGATGCCACCAGACGAGGGTTCTGGGCATAAGGAGGATGCCAATGGGGACCATGGCCACACGGTGAAGAACGAGCATGCTGAGGGTTTGGGCAGGGGTGTTGGGGAGCCACTGTGCAGGCTCTGTCAGCTGGTCTGTCTGCGTTAGTGAGGGAAGTCTCACAATGAGCCATCCGATCGAGCCTTCAAAGGCTCACTCCAGAGGCTCTGCGAGGACCGCCCAGTCAGGTCAAGGCTGCTGCAAAAAATGGGGCAGAAGTTGACCGTGGCAAAGGTGGACGAGGTGGAAGTGGTTTGAGTGACCTTCTCTCATAGACGGGCAGGTCTCGGTCACTGACCCGGTACGGGGTTTGGGGTGGTGGCGGGGGAGGGCAGTCACTGAGGATGACTCCTGGGTTCCTGCCTTGGCATGGGGCATCCGCGGCCGCACTCACTAGCAGGAAGCAGGGTCGTGTCCCAGGGGCTCACGGGTGAGCCGTGTGACTGCACAAGCCCTTTGGGCTGCCCTGAGTTTTCATTCCTCAAATACAATGGTGTCTGGGTAAAGCTTGGTTAATACAGGCGTTTGCTGCTAGATGTCATAATTCTCTCCCTCCTTCCACCTCGCAGCGTGTTAAACCGCACACCAATGAATCTGATCCAGGAGATCATATTAGTAGATGACTTCAGCAATGACCGTAAGTATATCTTCGCCCCCTTGCTCTGTAGATGAAGGTTTCTGTTCCTACCTAACAGGCAGAGGCCAGGCCACTGGTTCTCCGGGGAGGCAGGAAAGCCTGGGTTTACAGCACGTGTGGAAGACTTTGAGTGTCCATCAGGGGCTCAGGAGGGAGACGAACCTTACATTTTAAAAACAATGTCTTGGATTCCCGGTTGCAAGTCTTTGAGGACATATGCAGTAGATATAGTTGATCCTTGATTGGGTTGGTGTGTGTGTGTGTATATGTGTCATTGTCACCCAACCTACATTTCTGGACATGGACACCTTTGGAGGATTGACCCTAGGACCCAGAACCCAGAGCAATTTCTATCGCTAGAGTTTTTGACTTGTATCTGTGATCATCTGCTAGCCTGATCACAGCCAGAAATACCCTCTCCTTTCATTCCCATGAAGTGCTGGGTGGGCTCCACGGGAGAGAGGCTAAGGCTGGTAGACCAGTGAAGTGAAACCAACATGGTGGCATCCCAGGGTTGATAAATCCAGCAAGGGATGGGGTAAGGAGACAAGGCAGAGACAGATCTGGGGTGATACCTAAGATAGGGTCTCCTCCTGCCCATCCTGACACATTCCCCTGAATGGGGAGAGTTAGGCCAGCTCTGTGTGATGGGGCACAGTAGACAGATCACTCAACAGATAAGGTCTCCAGTATCGGAAGTGCATAATCAAAAAGGAAACTCAAACATTCATCTCATCCATTGTGTGGTCTCCCAGCAGTTTTTGCTAGACCCCACTAGAGTGAGCAGGACTCTGGTCTCATTTTTAATGGTCTATGGAAAAGGAAAAGGCTCTCCAGGTGACCATACCATACCAGGTGTCCCCATCAGAAAGTGCTTCCTAGTAAGCACACAGGTGCTGCTGTGTGACTGACCTGCTCCAAAGAGGGCCCCTTGCGGTCACTTTGCACAGAGTGGGCCACATTGCATATGGATAGAAGTGTTGGGTCAGCCTCATCCAAAACCCACAACCATGCTGGCGTCGGGACGGGGCTCTGTGGTTGGGAGCAGGGACGGCAGGCTGGGCTGCCTTGCCTAATCTTCGGGTTCACATGGCTCCAGCAAGTCCCGGGGCGCTCATGCCACATAACCTTCTGTCTTCACAGCTGAGGACTGCTTACAGCTCATCAAGTTGCCCAAGGTGAAGTGCATACGCAATAGCGAGCGACAAGGTGGGTCTGTGCAGAGGGGCATGAGTGGGAGGGGGGTTGGGGGGTGCATCCAGCTGTGTTCAGCATGCGGGGGCTGTCCTGTAGCTCCTCCGTGAACTCTCTGGAAGACAGAAGGATGGGGCATCCACATGCCTGTTTGTCCCTACCATAGGTCTGGTCCGGTCCCGGATCCGGGGAGCTAATGTGGCCAAGGGCACCACTCTGACTTTTCTGGACAGCCACTGTGAGGTGAACAGGGACTGGCTCCAGCCGCTGCTGCACAGAGTCAAAGAGGTGAGTGGGGCAGACTGAGGGTCAAGGGCTGTGTCCCCACCTTCCCTAGGCTCTCTCAAGCCCATACTTCACATATGGCCCCACCCCCAGGCCCTCTGGGAGGGGCATGAGACTCATCGCTGGCCCCCTGTTATATAGATGAAGACACTGAGATCCACGGTCACACAGTGGGCAGTGGTGGGGCAAAGTTGGGGACGTGTTTCCGTTTCATGCTGTCACCCGCGGCAGGCCTGTGAGTGGGGCTAATGGCAGCTGCTGATCCGTGACGCCTGCAGCTTCTTGGGTGCAGACAATAGAATATTCCAGAAAGGGAGCCCTGATGAGTGCCTTTTGTGACAAGGAGGCAGCGGAGTTAACTGATTCTTGTCCCCCAGTTCCTGAGGCTTTTGTCTTCCCTCCACCCATGCATCACCCTTGCCTGGAGGCTGAGGCAAGTGGACGGGATGCTGAGAAACCTGAGCTCCTGGCCTCTGCCTGCCCTTAAATCGCTCCGGAATTCTGCATGCTTCCTCTCTCCATTCTCAGTCGCTACTTTTGAAAGTGAAAAAAACCTTAATGTTCCCCATTCGTTCGATATTCCACAAAGATTGTCCACCCCTGTCCTGATCTACAGAAGGCGCTGTGTTGCAGGAGCCTAACATTTGGGCTGTTGCTGTCCTCCCTGCGTTTCTGACTCCCGCGGCTGCTCTGTGAAGTACGAGGCTGGGTATTTTTCAGGTACCCATTTCGCAAATGAGGACATGGCGTGAGGGGAGGGGTGTAACTTGGGCTGATTTTTCCTGACGGGCACCACGCACACCAGAGCCCCCACACCGTCTCCCCTGAGGCATAGTGATTTCCTCCTGGCTCTCTGCGGCAGCTACCCTGCTTCCCCTGCCCTCCCCACCCCTCAAAATGACAGCATTGACCAAAGAATCCCTGTGTGTGAACCACTCAGAGAAGTGGGAAATCCTTCCCGACTCTGTTCATTCTGGTGAGAGAACCTTGGTGTGTGAGCAGAGCTCTCACACGGGGGCCCAGATGTGATCACATGGGATCACCTGCCCTCAGATTGAGAGGGACACTTAGTGCCCTTTAGGAAAATCCTCTCTTCCCCTCCTTCCGCCACAATCCAGGTGAAGAGGTCTGCATTGAGAAATAGATTAGGAACAGACCATGTAATTGAAGGGCCTGGAGCCCCTTCCAGATCTTCCCCTCTCTGTGTCCCAGAGGGGAGGGGCGCTGGGGGTGGGACGGAAAGTGCCAGCCCTCTGTCACGTGGTTGGTCCATGCCCCCCACCCCAGAACAGTCGCCTCATTAGCATAAACTCAGGTCTAGTGAGAGAGGATTGCCGTGGATCACACAGATGCCCCGTCACCCCTCCACTCACGAAATCCCAAAGGTTTCAGAAGCTCTTGCTTGATGAACCACAAACAAAGACCACATGGAGATTTCGTCTTGTATCACAACATCATGGTGTATACCACATTGTTAATTTTTTTTAATTCGAGTATTGTTAGCATAGTGTTCTATTAGTTTCAGGTGTACCATATGGTGACTCAACAATTTATCTATTGCTCACTGCTCATCCCAACAGGTGTGCTCCAAATCCCCTTCACCTGTGCCACCCATCCCCACCCACTCACCTCCCCTCTGGTGGCCATCAGTTTGTTCCCAGCAGCTAAAGTTCTGTCTCTTGGTTTCTCTCTCTCTCCTTTCTCCTCCCTTTGCTCATTTGTTTTAGTTTTTAAATTCTACATGTGAGTGAAATCACATGGCATTTGTCTTTCTCTGACTGATTATTTCACTTAGCGTTATAGCCTCTGGATCCATCCGTGATGTTGCAAATGGCAAGGTTTCATCTTTTTTTGTGGCTGAGTATTATTCCATTGGATCTCTCTCTCTCTCTCTCTCTCTCTCTCCCCCTCCCTCCCTCCCCCTCTCTCCAACATCTTCTTTATCCATTCATCAGTTGGTGGCCCCTTGGGCTGCTTCCACAGTTTGGCTATTGTAGATAATGCTGCAATAAACATAGGGGTGCATGTATCCCTTTGAATTAGTGTTTCCGTATTTGGGAGCGTAAATACATGGTGGTGTGATGACTGATTGTAAGGCAGCTCCATTTTTAGCTTTTCGAGGAACCTCCATACTGTTTCCCAGAGGGGCTGTACCAGCTTGCATTCCCACCAACAGTGCACTAGTCTTCCTCCTCCTCCACATCCTCTCCAACAGTTGCTCCTTGCCTTGTTGATTGTAGCCATTCTCACAGCTGTGGAATTGTATCTCATTGTGGTTTTGATTTGCATTTGCCGGATGATGAGTGACGATGAGCATCTTTTCACGTGTCTGTTGGCCATTCAGATGCCTTCTTTGGAGAAATGTCTGCTTGGGTCCTCTGCCCATTTTTTAATTGATGGGGTTTTTTTGTTTTGTTTTTGGTGTTGAGTTTTGTAATTTCTTTATGTTTTTGGAGACTATTAGGTCTTTTGCAAATGTATTCTCTTTCAGTGGCTTGTATTTTAGTTTGGTTGATTGTTTCCTTCCCTGTGCAGAAGGTTTTTTATTTTGATGTAGTTCCAGCAGTTTATTTTGGCTTTTGTTTCCCTGGCCTCAGGAGACGTATCTAGAAAGAAGTTGTCCGATGTCGCAGAAATTACTGCCTGAATACCACAGTTTGTTTATGCATTCCTCTGCTAATAGACATTTTGGGTTGTTTCCACCTTTTTACTCTTATGAATAGCACTGCTGTGAACATTAGTATGTAAGTTTAAGTACCTGCTCCCAGGTCTTTGGGGTCCATACCAATGAGCAGTATGGTGGGGTCACATGGCAGTTCAAGGTTTGACCTTTAGGATGCCTGCCCCCCACCCCCCAGGCTGATGTGGCCCTGCAGGATATGTTAGGGGGACTTTCTTTCCTCGGACAGCCTTAATGAAGCTTGCATCTTCTCCTTCCTCCGTGTGAGTGCTCCTTGCAGTCTGGTGCTCCTATGGGAGGAATTTGGCTCCACAATAGGGCTCACCCTCCCCAGTCCCCACCACTGTCTGACCTAAAGCTTTGGTAGCAGAGGACTGGTTGGACAGACTTGGGGCTGTGGTCGGACCCTGCCCCTTGCAGGGGCCACAGCAGCCTCTGTGGGCTGCAGAGGTTTTTACCAGACGCTGACTCCTGTTGATGGAACATTCAGCTGAGACTTCCTCTTCAGGACAGGGATGTGGGCGTGTGTCAGCCCGTGTTAACACGTGTCTTTGTGTCTTGTCTCAGAGTAAAACGTGATTTGTCTTGTAAGTGGAAGTGGAAATTTTAAGCTGTAATTGGAGTTTGGGATTTTCAAAAATAGAAAGAGATAAGAAAGTGCTGGGTTTGGGCTGTCAGAAGCTGTCCTCAGCTGGTCTTGTCCGTACAGAACCCTCTCGACGTCCTGTTTCTTCCCTTCAGTTACTCGATGATACTTGAAACAAGCACCAGGTTGGTTTTAATTTTTTTTAACAGAGGCTTCTTTTCCCCCCACTCCTTATCTCCATATTTCTTTAGTTGGAAAAAATGATTTTGAGAAATTTCAGCCCCTGTAACATTTGGTAAATTTGTATAAATAATGGCTTACATATGCTTCAAAGTCTTTCACACGCCTCCCTCCCTTGTTTCATCCAAAAGCCCTGTGAGGAAGGCAAGATAGTTTTTCAAATAATAATTTGTCTTTGCTTTGTAGTGTGTGCTGGTGTGTTTAAGGTGACATGGATTCTAAATGGCAGAGTCAGGACAAGAACCCAGGTCTCCTGTCACCTCCTCAAGGACCCCTCCTTCTCCTGCACCCATCCCTCCCGGCTGCCTTAGAGGCCCCATCGTAATCCTCTGTCCTCTACTCCCCATTTCCCTAGACTGTGAGGCCTTATTTATCTTTGTACCTGTCACAATTCCTAAACTGTAAGAAGTGCTCTGTAAAGCTGGTTGATCAAATGAGTGATGATCTATCTCTCTAGCAAGTTTTGTTTTTAATTATTATTATTATTTTTTTACTATTTTTTTAGAGGGGTGGCAAGGGGCAGAGGGAGAGGGAGAGAGAGAATCTTAAGCAGGCTCCACACCCAGTGCAGAGCCTGACATGGGGCTCGATCTCACGACCCTGAGGTTATGACCTGAGCCAAAATCGAGAGTTGGACGCTTCACCAGCTGAGCCCGCCAAGTGGCCATCTCTCGGAATGTTTTCAGGGCCTGCTCCCAATATGGTTTTAATTATCTGAACGGGTGGGGGAAGGAGAGGTGTACCGCAGGGAGCACTGATGGCCATTGGGTGGTGCCTTCAGTCTCTGTCATTGCTGGGCTCCTGTCCATGGGGCAGGGTTGGGGCCTGGGCTCTGATTTGTGTTGGGGAGGGAGGAAGAAGGGGTGCAGTCCTGGGTCTGTCAGGGGTTCGTCCAGCTGCCTGATTACACCTACCTGTGGGCCTAGCCTTGGAAACCAGCTTCCTGGAGCACACAAACAGGGACCTGTGGTGGGTCTGGGCATCTTTATGGAGAGTCCCTCTATCCCAGAACCTGTAGGAGGAGAGGCCGTCTTTCTCAGCAGGAACCGACCTGCCCTCTCTGCTGCCGGCCTTTGACCTGTGTCCTCTTCACCCTCCTCAGCCAGTGCCAGAGGATCACCCGCGCCCAGCAGGCTGAGGGCTGGTGCTGAGGGCTACACAGGCGCACCGAGCAGGAATGACCCCCTAGGTCCCTCAGAGAGCTTTGTATCTTGGCTTCAAGGCCCATGCATACAGCCTCGTACAGCATCTTTTGAAGGTCGTGTCTCCACACAGCTCTTAGCCCCAAAGGTCCCTCATCACCTATCTTGTCTCCATGACTCAAGCAGACACCACACATGAGCTGTAGCAGGGATAAGAGAAGGGCAGAAGCCCTCAGAACCTATAGGGAGAGGGTACCAAAGCCCGTGCACCCCAGAGGCTGAGTCCCTGGGCGGCTTCCCGGAAAGGTTGTGGCCAGAGGTAAGCAACCGGCATTTTATTTCGTATTTCAGTTTCCAAATATTGAGGAGAAATTAAAAAACAAGGACTGCAGTTACTAAACCTGAGACCACCCTCAGGTTTAGTAATTCACTAGAAGGACTTGGAACTTAGCAAAGCTGTTCTAGTCATGATTGCTGTTTAGTATAGCAAAACGGATGCAGGTGAGACTCCGCAGCGGGGAAAGGCACACAGAGAAAGTTCCAGACGTGAGCTTCCGGCGGACTGCCCCTGGTGGTGTTGGACAGACAGCACTTCCTTCTCCCAGCAATGGTGTAGAACACGTACAGGTCACTGAGAAACAGGGAAGCCCACCGAAGCCTTGGAGTCTGGGCTTTGTGTTTGTTTTGGGGATCAGTCATAGAAATATGGCTGACCGCCCCCCATGGTCTCCATGCGCCTCCAGAAGTCAGGGTGAGCCGGTCGCACGCAGACCAAGGCCCTTAGCCTAAGTCACACTGTTAGTGTAGACTGTCTGGTATATCCTAAGGCACACAGGTAAACAGAGGCAGGACGTTCTGAGGGCTCAGAAGTTACTGCCCAGAAGCTGGGCAAGGGCCAAGCATACCAAGGATTCAAGGTGAATCCTTGACCATACGAGCCTCCCCATAAAGACTTTGTAAAGCTACAGAGACCCCGAAACTCAACAAGCAAAGGCAAAATGAGAACTATGTCCGACTCACAGAAGTTCGGTCTCTGAACTTGTGAGAACGTGTCAGAATTCAAGTCCCAGGAGTGTCTTTGGGGTCATGTCCATGGGTGGGAATGGGTGTGGATCGCTGAACGTGCACGTGCACACACACACACACACACACGTACACACACAGGCACAGGGTGACACTGCCCGAGGAGAGCCCGGACAGCGGAGGCAGCTGGGCAGGTGTCATGCTGGCTGCAGAAGAAGAGTCTGTGCATGTCCCTGAGGTAGAAGCAATGCATTGAAAATGAGCATTTCTTTCCACACGGGCCACTCGGCTTCCGAGGTACCTTGTCACTGTCAGGATGAGTCACACGTGGAAGCCGAGGGCCAGACGAAGTCTGTGAACATAAAAGCAGGCACCTGGTGAGTCTGAGTTTAAAATAAGAGGACAGCCTCATTCGGGAGAGAGATTGAACCAGGAAATGAAATGGCTGTAAGGAGAAGCAAAGGCTTGCACCCGTGCCAGGGGTGGGAGTGGGGGCAGGGGGTCAGGGGGTGGTGGGGGGTGCGGAAGACTGCAAAAGAGGCCCTGCCCGACTTGCCCACACCTGCGGGTACTCTTGGGCTGCCTGGTTCCTGGTTGGCTGTGGAGTGGCCTTCCCACTGCTCCCCATCCATCCTCCTGCGAGCCAGGTACCAGCCGTTCACCCAGAGCGGGGAAGACTTTAGAAACCCATGCAATGCCCTGACAGCCCCCAGGCACTGGTGAATATGTCTTGCATATTTTGAAAACATTTCCTGGGTGGCTTTGATGCCTGTGGACAGGATAATCTGTGGGATGCAGCAAGTGAGGAGGATGGAGAGTGAGATAGAGACTCTTTGTGGATGGTCCCGCATGCCAGGCTAAGGAGCGTGAGCCCTATCTTCTGGGCAATTCAGGGTCTTAGCAACTGAGCTGCAGAGTGAGATTTTCCCATCCAAATGACAACTTCCCCTGCCACCAAAGGGAAGAGGGTGAGCTAAGGTCAGGAGTCCACCACGGTCCACCAGGTGTGAGAGAAAAGGAGAAGCACGCCACGCTCAGAAGAGTAGTTCCGGAGTTTGAATTGGCAGGACCAATCCGGGTGATGGGCAGAGGCAAAGCTTCTTTGCGCTGGGAAGCAGAGGGCTGCGTGATTGTTCTGTTAGCAGAAACAGGCAACCCAAGGGAAAGGAGCACGTTTGGAGAGAAGATAAGGAAGCTGTCACTGAAAGTCCATGTGAAATCCCCATGGAAGGGGCCAGTGGCCTAGTCGCTCTGAGTCTAAGAGCAAGGGGGTGTAAGTCAGGGCTAGAGGCACAGATCTGTGAGGACCACAGATGACATCTGAAGGACAGAGTCTCCAGAGATGCTGTATCTCACCTTGCCTAGAAACATATGCATCAGATTAAAATATTTGGAAATTCCAAGGTGTTCTTCCTGTGCGGGTGTGGCTTTGCTTCATGTGACTACAGACTGAGGTCACCTTCCCGGCTGCCTGTGGCGTCTGCCTCCTTGGAGCCCACCAGTGGTGGAGGACTTCTAAGCCCCTTCTTCCTGTCTTCCCCTTCCTCAGTGTCCTCACTCTTTGGCCCGTGCTGGTTCCCTACCATGCTCTGATGGCTTTTGGGGCTGAGGAAGCCACCAGAAGTCAGAGAAAGGTTTTTAGCATTTTAGGCATTAGAACCAGGGCAGTCACAGTCTCCAGTGCTCTATTTTATAGATGAGAAAATTGAGATCCAAAGATAGAAGGTGGTCAAGGCCACAAAACCAGCCTGGCATTATGAGGGCAGGGCGCTTCCATGCCCGCTGACACCTGGCCTGGCTCCTTGGCACCCTGGACTGAGCCCAGAGTCTGCTGTCTTCCAGGACTACACGCGGGTGGTGTGCCCTGTGATTGACATCATCAGCTTGGACAACTTCAACTACATCGAGTCCGCCACGGAGCTCAGAGGGGGTGAGTGGGACCAACGGCTTCTCCCCAGCAAGGAATCACCACTCCCCCGCTCAGATCTGTCTAGGGGAAGAATGGGGAGAGGTCTCTAGTTGTTTGTCTGGAATGTCCAGCCCTGTGTCCTGTAATGTCAGTAGCCCAATGGTAGCCTTACCACTGAGACTATGAATGCAATGGCCAGGGTCCTGTATGGGACTCATCCAGATCCCAGAGCTCTGGCTCCGACGTGGGCTCACCCTGGGATGAGGAGGGAAGGCGAGGACATCCTCCTGACCTGTTCCGGCACCGCAGTCTTGGGCACCACGCACTCTCTGAGACCCACCATGGTTGTGCTCAGGACGCAGTGCTGGTCCCCCAAGACTGATTTGAGATGACTCAGCCCCATAAAAACCTGCTTGCACCTTCCCAAGACTCCTGACCAAGGGCCACACCCATGACTGTCCATCCTGTCCCCCTTAGGTTCTGTTGAACCTGACTCTATCATCTGCCTTTTATCCCCTCACCGTGCCCAGCAGGGAAGGCTCAGAGAGGCAATAAGAAGTAGAAAGAAACTGTGAGAGGGACACCCAACTGCCTCCTTGCTGATGAGCCTGGGTGAGACCTGCTGTCTCCAAGCCCACCTTCCCTGGATGTGTTCACAAGCTTCTTGAAAAGGGATGTGTTGTGCACATCAGCTGAATCGGTGTTGTTCTAGGGTTTGACTGGAGCCTCCACTTCCAATGGGAGCAACTCTCCCCAGAGCAGAAGGCTCGGCGTCTGGACCCTGCTGAGCCCATAAGGTAAGTCAGGTCAGGGGTGGGTAGCGTCACCACTGGGTCCTTCTCTCTGCCACATCGTACAGCAGGCATTTCACATTAGACGCTCAAAAGATTGAGAAGAGACCAAAAGAACCTTTGGCGGGCCAGCCCTCCTTTACCCTTACTTTAGGAGTTTCTGTCTTCAAGGAGACTTCTAAGGGGACAGAGGCCTGGTAAGACCTGTACTAAGTGTGGTCCTCCCATACATGTGCTACCATGTACTTATGCTTCCCATTAAATGCTGGAGGGTCCCAGGTGGTCCTGCTTGAGCCTCTGACAGAGGGAAAGATGATCTGTTCAGGCCAGAGCAGGACTGCTAGGTCTTGGATATCAGGATTCAGCCGAAGAAGGTCAGTTCACTTACCTCCAGCTCGTGCTGCTTAGTAACACCCACGTCTGCGCTCAGCCCTATGCAAAGACGGGATGTCGCATTGACTCTGGGTTCCTCAGCAGAGCCGCGGATGCTTTCTCCTGGTCTGCATTCTCCCTTCACATAGGAGGCTCCCAGCACATGGGTTTGGGGCCTCTCAGAGGACCAGGGTAGACGGGAGCATGATGTCCACCCCGTGGGGGAGCCTGGGTTCTCAGCTTCTAGGGCGTATGATCTGTATGTTCCTACCAAAGATGGGCGCACCTGCCCCAGAACCGCGGATCTCCACACTGACCCTTTTGGGCCTCAGGTGGGGTGTAGGGGGTCCAAAGTGCTTGGAGAAGTATGCAAAAGGCCCCTAGGGTGCACTTTCTCTGGCCAGTGACTTAGGGGCGCCCCAGATTCTTTGTGGGCATCTCTGTATCTTCGGACCTGCTGTGTGGTAAATGTTGGATCATTTAAGTCATGAATCAGCTTAAGTCAGATGGGAAGCAAGGAGCTAAGAAGAGCCGAATGCTGACGCTTCCGACAAATGTGTATGGCTAGGAGGACTTTGCCAGGGACCAATGTCTCACCCACCTGCCGGCCCCTTCCCAGCCTTCATGAGCTGGAGCGGTGCCAAGAGAGAGATTGGAGCCAGACAGCATGCTGGCTAATGGCTTCTACTTCTGAACCTCTTTACAACGTGGGGCAGCTTCTCAGTTACCCCCTGTGGGCAGCCCCCGATGGGGCAGCCGGCCAAGTCAAGGACAAGGGCGGCTGTGCTGGCGCAACTTACTTTCTCTGGCCCAGTGTGTGGGTGTCTCAGGGCAGCTTCTGTTCTGGTGGGAATATCTCTCTCATCAGAGAGCAAGTGTTTCCCAGGCTCAGTCCAGGGAATGCCCAGGGGTCGTGGCCCTGGGAGACTGGGTTTCTTGACCTGCTATCCGTCAACTACCTGACATGGGAGAAAACTCCCTTCTCTCTCTGGTGAAGGTCCCTGCGGGCTCATCTGCCTTTCCCCGCTGTTGTTCCTTCTAGATACAAGTCCTGGTGCTCACTGGGTTATCTGGTTAGACTCTGCTGGGCTCGCCTGCCTTCCTCGGCAGGACTTTGCTTTCCGAGTGGCTACTCTGGCTTCTCTGGCTTCTCTCTCAGTGGCCAGAGGCAGGGGAAGTGGGCGCAGGACCCTAAGGAAGAAGACGAAGGTGAGGGTGTGCTAGTTTGTTGGGGCTGTAGCAACATATCACCCACGAAGCGGCTTATCGGCAGAAACATACCGTCCTGCAGGTCCAGAGGCTAGAACCACAGAATCAAGGTGTCGGTGGGGTTGTTTCCTTCTGAGGGTTATGCTGGCCTCTTTCTTTGGCTTGCTTTCTTTTTTCTTTTTTTTCTTTTTAAAGAATTGTTTATTTATTTTAGAAAGACTACAGGAGCGTGGGGGAAGGGCAAAGGGCGAGAGGGAGGAGAAGTGGATTCCCTGATGAGCAGTGAGCCTGATGCAGGACTAGATCCCAGGACCCTGAGATCATGACCTGAGCCAAAACCAAGAGTTGGATGTTTAACCCACTGAGCCAGCCAACCGCCCCCTCCTTGACTTTCAGATGGCCATCTTCTCTGTGTCTCTTCCCATTATGTGCTCTCTGTGCACGTCTATCTCTTTGGCTCCTCATTTCCTTTGTGTAAGGACACTAGGCACGTGGGGTTGGGGTCCACCCTGATAACCTCATTTTAACTTGATTACCTCTACAGAGACTTTCTCACCAAAGAAGGCCACATTCCGAGGTACTGGGGGTTAGGATCCAAATATATTATTTTAGGGTGACATAACCCCTCACCAAGAGTTAAGGGGGGAAGAAAAGGGAGAGAGCCCAATCTCAAAACATGGGTGTGCCATTAATGGGTGCTGCCTCAGTCTTCCTCCTCTGCCTGGGCTCCCAACAGTGGAGCCCCCAAAAAGAGCCATGCTGGGCAGAGCCTATGGGAGATTCTGGCAGAGGATCCCCGGGCCCTCAGAACAGTGGGCTTCTGAGCAAGTTCTGGCCCCCTACAGAAGACATGCTGATGAGAAAATGAGCCTGTCTGTGAGGTCAGGAGTTTTAAAATCAAAAGGAAAAACCCTGGAGTCTGTTCTTGTTTTAGGTAACACACTGACCCTCGTAAAGTGGAAAAGCAGTGGAGAGAGAAGCGTGTGGGGTTCTGCCTGATAGGGCAGATGACTGGGATGGTGATCCCTCTCTGCTCTCCCATAACTTTCTCTTTCCCTTCTGAATGCACAGGACTCCCATCATAGCTGGAGGGCTCTTCGTAATGGACAAATCCTGGTTCGATTACCTGGGGAAGTACGACATGGACATGGACATCTGGGGTGGAGAGAATTTTGGTGAGTCACTGTCTCTGCGTCCAGGGACCAGCAGCATCTCTGTGTCCTGGGCCCACATGCACCTGGGATAAGGGCCTGAGGGGGGCAGTAGGTCACTCCTTGGGAGCAAGGCCAGGTGGGGCATGAGAGGAGTGGTTGCTGGGAAGCTGGAGGTAACGGGGCATTTCTCCAGGGGGAAAGCCTCCCCAGGAAGACCATCAGGGGCAAGTTGACAACAGGCCAGCTGGGAGCAGGGAAAGGGAACGAACATTGGTCATGCCAGGATGGGGCTGGGAGTTTGACAGACCTAGCTCCACAGATTTTCACAACAACCCCAAGAAGCAGACCCACGTCATACTCTTAACACACGAGGCGGCTGTAAGGTAGCTCAGTGTTACGAGCTCCTTGCGGCGGTGGGGAGGTCCCAGACTTCTCTCTCTCCTGGGGCTGCAGATGAGCTCTATACCACTGAGGTTTGGGAACCTGTGCCCCCGTCCACTCTCACACCTTCCTCTTTCACTGAGATAAGGGCCAGACGCTCCCAGGCTTCCGTAGCAACTACCCCAGACCCTCTTCATTAACCCGCTGCTGAGTGCTGTGTGCACGGGGCGGCCAACAGATGTTTACCAAATGTTACAGGGGTCGCCATCAATCCTCTTCACCCGCAGGCGCCTACCCCCAAATCCCCGAGTTCAGTGCTCCAAGCTCAAGCCTGCCTCGGGCCGGGATTCAGCTCTGTTTTGTTCCCAGCGGTCTCCGGGGCTTCGAACAGTGCCCCCATGAAGGAGGCTTCCGTAACTACTTGTTGAATGAAGCACTGAGGAGGACAGCAAGAGGCAGGCGTGTCACCGGCCACTGTTTAGCACGGGTCCCCAGGCGGTGGCACGGCCCCAAGAACGGATGATCCGTGGGGCCCGTCTGGCGTTCAGCAGTAATCCCATGCATCGTCCTCTGCCATTGTTTTCTCCGGTCCCTGCCTCAGGAGTACTTTATGGCTTTCTTCCTCAGTCACTAAGAGTTATTTCCCAGAAATTTATGGCTGCCAGCCTGACCCACAGCATCTCTTCTCCCAAACTGGGCAGTGTAGAGAAATCCATCAGACAAGCACCATTCGGGGTCCAGATTAGAAGCTCAGCAAACAAGCAGGAAAAAAAAAAAAAAAAAAAAAAAACCCAAACCCCTGAAACCAAACTGATTCCCCTGTCTGGCACCCAGTCCTGGAACATAACAGGGAAATCGGTTACAGGTTGAAGATCAACGCTGCCTGCACAGGCCCAGGAGAACCTGGGGCCCGATAGGGCCTTGTCCTTCCCTCTCGTGATCCGTAGCGATGTGCTCTGGCCTTTCCTCCCGCCGTCAAGTGACTTCTTCCTGCAGCCCGTCTGACAGACAGCAGTCCTCTCGTTTCTGCTCCAGTGCCATTTATGACAATAGCGTTCACCGCTTCACAGTTCGGCACACTGAGTCATTGCGAATTTGTGTGTTGAATTGTTAGAAAATGCTTCTAGCCCATCTCGCTCTAGCCTGTGTCTGGCAGGGCTGACACAGCCTCCCTCAGCCTTGCAGAGGGAGCGTGACCTTTCCTCCCCGTGGCAGTCACTTTGGGATTCAGGCGGCACGTTATTTTTCATGACGTTATTTTTCTGGTCCAGCCTGCCAGTCCCTTCTGTTGATGGCAGTGTGGACGCACACCTGCGCCTGTCTAGGGGCAACCTCGGCTGTTGGCTCCCAGTCGTCTGACGCTCCCAAGTACCGATTTGAATGGGGAAGGAGGCAGGGGCTTCTGAGAAACTGTGGAAGAAGCATTTTACAGTCCATCACAGAATTTTTTAAACCACAAAAAAGCATTGCAGACGGTTATCCCAGGAGACGCTGTTTTTCTCCCATCACAACATTCCGTTATGTTATAGCCTGCTCCCAGCGCTTTGAAAGCCATTTTTGGACTCTTTTTTTTTTTTTTTTTTTTTTTTTTTTTTTTTTTTTTAGCATTTTGTATGTCAGAAGTTGCAGTGCTTTTCTGATAGTACGTAGATCATGTGGGGCAGTCCAGCTCTGCCGGGGAGCATAGGTAGGCACCTGAGGGCATGAATGTGGGCGTTTGGAAGAGCCCGTCAGGATGGAGTGACGATCGGGGGTTTGCTGGGACTGGGGAGCACTGGTTCACCTTCAGAGGAGAGATGATACTGAGGGAAAGAGTTCTTCTCCAGGGGATGGCAGGGGGCCTTCTGCACCTCCCAGCTCACCACATCCTGAGAGCCCCAGTGTCATTCACGTGCACTTCTCTCTCCATCCCCAGGACTGTTCTGTTGCCCTCAAAGCCAGCCTCCCACTGGGCCAGAGAGTGCAGTCTGAAATCCCCTTCCCTCCCTCTTCCCGGCGGCTGCGGCTTGTCCTGCTCCGTAGGGAGTATGGGAAGTTAAGGACACCCCCTCGGCCTTTGCGGTCTACGGCCCTGGGTGACCACGGTGGGCCTGTGGCTCGTCCTTGTTCGGCAGGAGACCTGGATGCAACGTGATTGTCCCACATGACATGAAGTACAGTGTTATGGACCAATGTGATGATCTCTGCTCAAGTCCCATGTGTTCGTTGCGAAATAATACCAGAGCTTCCAGGCCCAGGAGTGCTGAGGACTTAAAAGATCATTAAAAGGAAGAGTCTCTATTGGTGCATTTCTATGTGTGGACTTAGGGATAACAGTAGCCACCTCAACGCCCACCGCTGCCCGCGCCATGTCCCCTGTCCTGAGCTGGCCAGGGTACAGTGGGTCCCTGCTGCTGTGGATAAAGTGTGTGTTCGTACACGGGACGTGTGGCTCCGTGCAAGCTGGAGTCATCGCGTTCAGTGGAGCCTGTGTCTCAAGCTCCCTCCAGAAACCAGACTAGAAAATGGAATTGGAACCTTGGTGGGTCTGGCCGAGCTATGGTGTACGAATAGCTGTAGTTTGGCTTCCGGGGAGAAAGCATCCCCTTTCCCGTCCAGCAGTCATGGGCTTGGCGCATAGACTCTAGGCTGGTGGAGGGTGGGGACGGGGGGCCCCGGGGCCCTGGTCAGACAGCCAGTGGGTTGACGAGGTCACAGGAGGAAAGAAGTGAGGGTGGAGGGTGGGGAGATTCATCCTCACATAGGAGTCTGACATCTAAAGAAAATAAGATAGCGGTGCCCCCCATGAGGGTAGAATAATTACCCGTCTCCCTGTCTGCAATTCAAAGTGGATTAGGGCCTGCGTGACGCTCATCACCGGGGAGGTTGTGGCGGCGCTGACTCAGCGAGAATCCCCCTATGGAATCCCTCCATCATCTTTTCGCCCCGTCCCCCTCATTTAAGAAAGTGATGACTTGGCAGGAGCCGCAGACGTGGAAAGCAGAGGGTCTGGGAAATGCCCCACACCTCCCCGCACAGCCCTTCTGATGCATGAGCCCCCCCCTGCCTGGCGCCTCTGGATTATGAGACTTTCCCGAGTCAGCACATCCCCGGGGGGACAGTCATCCTGACGTCAGTGGTGTAGACGAGGGCAGGCAGCTCCACTTCTGGGTTTTAAATATCCCTGTGAACCATCACGCTCAGCTGCACACTCCAGACTGCTCGAGTCAGGCCCTGGGTCTCCGGTCACCACCTTTCTAACACGCAGGACCCTGAAGCCTAGAAGCTGTTCCTGCCTCTCGGGGTGCAGGCACATTTGGGAGGCATCGGCTGCACTGAGGGGGCGCGAAGACGGACATTTGTCAGGACTGGATGGAGGTGCTGGTAGTGGCTGGTCATAGAGGAGCCTCTCTTGTTGGCCTCTGAAAGCCTCGAAGGCAGTGTCTTTGTACCCAGAGCGGCAATGGTTGACAGAGGGCTGAGTTCTGGAGTGGGGAGCGGTGTTTCAGCCCCCAGGCACTGGACGGCAGGGGTCAGGTGGGACCACTGCTGATCATAACATAAGGACATCCACAACCATGAGCACGGTCGTTAGGATGACTAACAAGCTACCACCAGAGGGAGAGAGACCAAACAGTGCAGCCCCGTCTCACCAGGGGTGGATAAAGAGGTCATTTCCCCCCATGACTCAGCGTTTGCAGGGTTGAGATACGGGGCAGTTTTCAGCTAAAGCACCAGACGCAAGACAATGAGGAGGAGGAGGGCGGGTTTGACAGGTGGGGGAGAGGAGGCAGGCAGCAGTGGCCTGTGGACGGGCGGCCGGGGGCAGAAGGTGCACGTTATCTGCTGGGGTCCAGCACCCCTCAGTCGAGCATCACACGGCCCCTGGAAGCCAGTGCTGGAGCCAGGACAGAGCTGGGGCTGGGGAGGGATGAAGGGGAGCCCTCAGCATCAAGTGAGCCATGAGGTCAGCCGAGGAAACAGGGTCAGGGGGACCCTGTAAAGACAGAGCCTTGGGGTGGAAGACTGCCAGCAGACTGGAAAGAAGGTGAGGGACCAGGGTCAGATGACTACTTTCCAAGGTGGGTCCTGTGTCTACAGTGGCAAAAGGCAGGACTCAGGGATGCGGAGGGAAGCGAGATGGCAGGCAAGGGGAGCACAGAGAGAGAAACAGGTTGCTGGGGTAGGAGGGGGTGGGGGAGGGAACTGAAGCATCGTTTGGAGGGATTCGCTTTGTAAATGAGGAGGGACATATGTCTTATTTGAATACATGGAAAGGAAGAGACCATGGCCAAAACGTATGCGTATTCTGGGAAGAGGGCTGGCACCAAATTTGTAGGTTATATCTAGTAAACCAGATCTCCATCTCTAGTTTTGAAAGATGAGATGGTTTTCCTTTTTTGGAATTGGAGCAGACTGTATTTTGAGATCCTGGGGAGGAAGGGATTGGAGCACAGCAGACTTCTGGAGCACACTGTTTAGGAAGATGTCCTGAGACTGAAGTCACACACGCACTGACAGTCCCATGGGCTGACCCCTGCAGCCAGCCCCGCAGTGTGCTCACGGCAAGGTGGTGTGGTGGGGGGTGGCGGTCGGCTAAGCTCTCTTATGCTACATGTCCCACCCCCACCCCCATGAATACCAGTCTGGGACATGTGAGCTCCACAGTGCCCCAGCCAAACACCACATTGCTACATATTGGGGGCTTGATAGAAAGTCAAAATCTGGAGTGTTATGTCCACAAATTTCAAGTGGTGTTGGTGGCAGAAGAAGAAAGCTGGAAGCAGGCACAGGAGGCCAGTGCTAACAGGGTCTGTGTTTCAGAGACTGGCTTCAGGGACGTCTGATCGTAGCTGTGGCTCATCTTTCCATCCTACTTAAGTGTTCCCCGTAGTCTCAAAATTGTGTTTCATTTGACGTGGATGGCCATCCTGCAGCATGGACCCTCGGTGAGGTGAAGCAGGTATCCTCATGGACACGGGCCTGGGGGCTGCTATGGACCCCAAGGCCAAGCTCTTCCTGTCTCCCTCCCTCCGTGTTCTTGCCGTCATTTGGAAGCAATCCTGAAAGAGTTCTTTCTTTATCCTAGCGCACACACGTTGTCCCTACCGTATCCCCGAACTTCCTGGGAATGAGCCGTAGCCCATTTGGGACAGCACCTGGGCACGCAGAAAGCCAGGTGTCAAGGTGACGGCAATAGGGTTGGTGTCCACAGAGCCTTGCCTGCAGCTCAGGTACACAGGGCAGGAGGCAGTAGGGGATAGGGAAAGTCTGGCTGAGGACAGGTAAGTGAGAGAGCCCGTGAGGATCGCGATGAAGACATTGTGTCCAGACACCTGCTTGGAGAGCTGGATAGGAAGGAGACACAGAGCAGGAAGTGGAAAGAGAGAGAGAGGACCCAGATGAAGGAACCCAGGGAGGTGGTGCCCAAGGAGCTGGAGGGTGCCGTGCATGTATATGGTAAGAAGGCACTAGAATACTCACATCCTCCTTTCCTACTTCTGGATCCCAGCCTGCTTCCATGTGCCCCTCCCCACCACCAGCAGGAGAAGTCACCCAGGGCATGGATTTCTCCTGAGCCAGCCTGCCCTCCTATTTGAGCTTGACTGCAGAAGCACAAACCAGGCAGGAATTCCCAAATGGGAAACTGACATTTCCCACCAGCTGCGTACCCTGTGGGATGCACGGGGTGCAGTCAGTAAGGAGGTGCACTGTCTGCAGAGAAGTTAAAGCCCTCACAACACTGCCGAGCAGTCACTGATACTCCCCTCCACCACCTTGGTCTGACACTGCTTCCTTCCAGGGCAGGGGCACTGCCTCAAGCCGCCGAGGACCTTGGTCCCAGGGGAGAGAGGCACACCCCAGCCTAATCCCGGCTACCTCTGGGGACTCCTCTCCAGTCCTGCAGCTGCAGCAGCCAACCGGGAAGAAATGGGCATGTGTGCAACATCCCCGCCCTGGGGAGCGACCCCAGCAACAGCTCAGAAGCTCCCAGCATTTTCTAGGCTACTGCCAAGACATCTTCCCCCAGGCTATAATTCAGGCACCCTTACGGAGGGGCAGAATTGTGGTCCGGGAGTTGGGAGGTGCTCTCCTGGATGCCTCGTCCAGGAGCTTGCTGGGAATCCTGCCCATGGGTATTGCTGGCCGGTCAGAGTGTGAACCTCACCACCTCCATGACAGTCTCTTTTATCTGGGTCTGGACTGTCGGGAAAGTCTCCTATATTCTTAAACGGAAAATTCTTTCTCCTTGGTCCTGGTTCTTACCCGCCAGGGTCATCCAAGCATGTCTAATCCATCTTCCATGTGTCCAGAAGCAGCAGTCTGGGTCACCCAAAGGCTGTAGCAGGGCCTTGCACCAGGCTGGTCCCCAAATACGGCCTCCCCCCATGAACGTGCTCCTCCAGGCCAGTCCCTGTGTGTTTCCATATTCACACACATCACCCTCCCAGCTGTGAGTTATCATCAGCCCCGGTTGCTGAAAGGGAAATTGAGGTCACCCAGCCAGCAGAGCACACAGTCTGACTGTGGAGCCAGCTCTTGACCCCCAGTCCCAGGCTGGATGCAGCAGGAGGCCCTGACCCCTTCCTTGGGCCTGGTGCCCCAATGCTGCCATCCTGTGTCCCCACCCCTCCGGAGAGCACAGAGCCGTGCTGATGGGGCACGACTATCTTGCAGAAATCTCCTTCAGAGTATGGATGTGTGGCGGCAGCCTCGAGATCGTCCCCTGCAGCCGAGTGGGCCATGTCTTCCGCAAGAAACACCCGTATGTTTTCCCAGATGGAAACGCCAACACGTATATAAAGTAAGTGCGAGTCCCAGGGGTTCTGTAGGGGCAGCAGAAAGCCTGGTGAAGGGTTGGGGCTGTCCCCAGTTGTCTGGTAGGTTGCCTGAGTGTTCTGGGCGCTCAGGAGCCACAATCATGCTCCTTGGGACTCTGCCTAAGCAAGGGAGGTCAGACTGGCCCACCCAGCAGGAGGAGGTGGTCTGAAGCTCTTCTCCACCATGGACGTCCCCGTGGCTTGCTGAGGCCTGTGAGTCACTGGGCAGCACTGTCCCGTCGGGCTTTGGATGTTTGGGGTTGTTTGGGTTTTGGGGAGAAGATTCCATTTTTGCATCCAAGTTCTAGAAGATCTGCGGCTCCCCCTTTCAGCCTGGGTCACCAAGGGAAAGTTCACTGGAAGGATTTGAGAACGGGGGACCACAAGCAGCTACTACTCACATGCTTGGCCTTGGGCTTCTTCCCTAGGGTGTCTGCACCTCCTGCTAGGGGACGAGATGAAGATCCCGGGGTCTCAGTACGCCCGTGGTGTCCACTTGCTCATTCCTACTCTGTCCCTTCATACACCTTCTGTGATTCCTTCTCCTTCGGGCTTTGCCTCTGTTTTAGGAACATTTCGCGTATGTCCCTCTCTCCTCCAGCTTCTCACCTTTTCCCTTTATCTCCTTTGTCGCTCATCATCTGACGGCTTCACTTACCCATTTATCCCTCTTTTCCTTTTTTTTTCTTTTCTGTCTTGTCCATTTGGGGGAGGGAGGAGCTAAGCATTTCTTCATTTGGGGCATCATTTTCCTCATCTGTGTTCTTCTGTCCTCAGTTTTCACATGTATGGGCAGGTATGGGTTACATCCTGACACGAGCATCCTGGGGTTGGTATGGCTCTGACCAGGGGGAAAGTTAACACCTTTTGCAGAAACCTCTGGGCGAGGATGGGGCGGTGAGAAATCCAGCGCTGAAGACAGGGCTGCCTTGGGCCTTGGGTTTCCAGGAGGAAAACGTGAGCAGGCGACACCTGGTATAGGAGAGCGATGGGGACAGTCCTGGGCTCCAGAACATTTTCTGTCTTTGAGTCTGGGCCCTGGCCAGTGGGTCAGGCGGCATGCAGTTTGCTCATGGTTAGGCCACAGGCAAGGAACCAGCAAAGCGCTGGTAACTGCCTTCCCTGCACCAAGAGCAGGCTGCCGATGTGTGACTGTCATTTCGGGTCCACTGGCTGGGACAGGTTTGCCATAGACCTCCACGGAAGACCTCTGCTCCAGACAGAACCGGAAATCTGCAGGGGCATGCCCTGTTGAGTGAGACCCCAGGGTCACAGACTTGGGCCCCAAGGTCACAAATGTGGGCCCCAGCGGGGACTGCTCCTCCACTGCCCCTGGTGTCTGTTTTCTGATGGCCTCTTTCTTGCCCTGGGGCTCTTCTGGTACCACTGCCTCCCTGCCCACTGCGCAGGGACACACATCCTCCATGGCATTCTCTCTCGTTTTCCGTGACCTTTGAGGTCAGCCCCAGAGCAAACACCTGATGGAAAAGCCTAGTGAGCTGGCCAGATAGCTGACAGTTGGGTTAATTACTTGATTCTTGACACCTGTACCTTGCTCTCGGACGCTATATGTGATCGGCTGTCCTGCCCAGAGTTGGGACCCCAGCCCTTGCCCTGCAGAAAGGGGGAACACCTGGGGTGGGAGCCTGTGTGCAGAGGGAGGTGAGGTGGCCACTGCCCGCCCTGCCTCTCTCCTCTTGGTTCCTGGCAACACAGGCGTATGTGGTGTGTGGACTCTCCTCTCCCAGCCTCCTCCTCCTTGTTCTTTTTGAGCCGCAAAAGTTCCATTTCTGGCACAATTTTTCAGGTGTTACTTTTTGAGGAAGAGTTTGTCCTGTGTCTTGGAGTAAAGGCCCCTTGGGAGGTTGGGTGGGATGTGGCCGCGCTCAGCCCCCACGGAGGAGAGCTCTTACTGGATCGTGGGGGGGCCCCGGCTGGGTGATGCTGCTGTGTGTGCATACTGACTGTTCTGGGACACCCCCTGTCTCCCCAGGAACACCAAGCGGACGGCTGAGGTGTGGATGGATGAGTACAAGCAGTACTACTACGCTGCCCGGCCATTCGCTCTGGAGAGGCCCTTTGGGAAGTAAGTGTCCCTTCTGGCTGCTTTGCGCAGGGGGTCAGGAGGAGCGCTGGCTCCTGACAGCCAATGTATCCGGTCGCCCAGGCAGGGGCCACTCTCTTTCTCGTCCCTTCTTGCTCCTGCCCTCCTCGGGATGCAGGGTTTTCAGCAGCTCTTACAGAGCAAGTGGCAACCTGGGCCACTGCCCCAGGAGGTATGCTTTGCCTTGCACCATGGAGGGATGTTTCTTTTTCCAGAAAGGTGGGATGCTGGACACGATGGCCTTAGTCCCTCCAGCTCAGAGCTCCTCTTCCTGGTTCTGAATCCCCCAAGGCCAAAGCACCCTCCTTCCTCCATGGAGCAGTATCCTACAGGTGTCCCCAAGAGCCATGCTCCGGCTTCGTCCAGATAGACGAGAACAGGGAAAGAATTCTGTGCCGAGGCCACGAAGGCTCTCCTGGGAGTGCTCCCCAGACTCTGAGAAGTGAGTTTCATTGCCTCCATTTCACAGGACAGGAGACTGAGTTTTCTGCAGGTTAAGCTACTTGCCCTGATCACATCACCGAACTGGGGACATGAGGCTCTAACCACACCTGTCTGATCCCCCAACCATATGTTGCATTCTCCACCACAGAACTGATGAGAGAAAAATGGAAACTTCAATTTTGGTTAGCATCTGATTATTTGGAGGGACAACCAGTGGCTTTTTGTCATGCTGATGTCCCTCCACCAGACTAAGGCTGGGGAGTGGATGGGTTTCTGCCGCCTACACCGTGTAGGAGGAGCCCGTCCCTGCTCCAGAGGATTAAATCAGACTCAGCCAAAATGGCTTGCGTCTCTGAAATTATAACCCCGTGCTGTCCCCCCAGGTCAATCGCTCAGAACCTCACAAGGCATTTGTCCTGAGTCCTCATCAAACTCCCGGCCCACTGACCATGGCTGTGCACCTCCCTTTCCTCACCTCCCTCCATCCCTCCCTCCCCTGCTTGGTTTTGGCTCTCTTGCTTAGAGAGAAGGCTTAAAAGACATCATCCTCAGATCTTTGGCCCTGTTGTGCATCTGTCAGCCCCTCAGGCAAAGTTTTCTCAATCCTGGATGCACCTGACTTTGTGCCTTTCCCTCTCCTGTGCACCGGCTGCTGAAGGTTCTGGAAAGTATCAGCAGGTGCTGCTAACACACGGTGGCCATCAGGCTCAGGCAGGCCTTTGGTAGACTTGTCAGTCATGCTGCCTTTCCTGGCCATCATTGTCCCCAGTCCCCATTTAAAACTCTCCTGTCTCCCCACCTCTCCCCCCAAGTCCACCTGTCACTCACAGCAGATGACACCTGTTTTATAGCTGAGAGAGATGGCATTGACTTCCCGAGACAAACCGACCCGGAAACTTCGCTCTCTCCGCCCCACTCTTCTTCCATCTCCTGAGACAGGTGTGCCCCCTGCCGCGTTGGACCAGCCCTCCACTTGTAATGGGGACCACCCTTCATCTGCATTCGTAAATCTACACTTGCCCAGCTCCCTCTTCTTGGATTCCTCCTCTCCTGCCTCCTGGCTCAGGGCTTCTTAAACTTTAATACACACAAATCTCCTGCGGCTTTTGTTAAAATGTGGTTGTTGATTCCCTAGGGTGGCATTTCCAGGAAGTTCCCAGGTAGCGTCCTGCTGCGGGTCTGAGGGCCTGTCTGAGGGCCTGAGCAGAACTCCAGGCCAGGCCAGTGCTTCCCAAACTAGCCTGCACACTGCAGTCACCCAGGGGGTTTCAGAAGCTATGGGTACCACTCCCAGAGGACTGCTCGGGTCTGGGCTACAGCCTGAGCTGGAGAATTGTTGAAAGGCAGCCCCCTGCCCGCACTCCTCAGGACTCTGATGTGCAGCCGGTATGGGAACCAGTGTTCTAGGAGACCCTGCCCTCTGCTTCCTCATCCCTGATCTGTCTTTGCTAATGCGCGGTCCCCATCAGCATTTAAACTGATTCAGGGTCTCACATCTTAAAACTTAAATGATTTAAAAAGGAATAGGAGGGAAGAAAAGAAAGTGTGCACTTTGGGGAGCTCATGCCCTGCCTCTCCGGAGTGTGCTTGGAAACCTCCCCTGTCCCTGAGAGCCCCTTCCTGACCACGATGACCGTGCCTACAGTCTCTGCCTGTCTGGTATTATTGCAGCCTCACATTTCTCTTTCCTGCCATGTTTGTGGTCCTCCCCAAGGGTCCATCATCGCCGTCTCTATACTGCGCATTACCCCCTGGCGTTCACCACCGCTTCTACTGACTCTTGGGTCTCTGTCCCTGACCTGGCCTCTCATTCTGAGCCGCAGCCCCTTCCATCCCACTGCAAACTGGACATCTCCACTTAGACACCTCCCAGGCTGCTCCAACTCCAGTCCTAAAGGGAACTCAGCCATGGTGCTTTGAAACATGCTCCCCAGCCTGTCTCCCCCATCTCCAGGAACACTCTTCCTTGTGTCCTCTGGCCCAAGTCACAGGTCTGGGTGTCAACCTTGACTCTTCCCTCCCCCACCTGCCCAGGTCCAACAGCCCCCGAGCCCTGGTGCTGCGGCCTCCTTCATGCATGCAGTGCCAAGGTTTTTGCTAAACACTGAACATTCAACTCTAAAGAAAAAAACTGACATCATTCTTTGGCTCATGTTGCTTTGAGTCTGGTGAGGAAAGGTTGTTAGCGCTAAGAAGCCCAGTGTGGGCTGGAAGAGGTGAGGCTGGCCGAGCAGGGCCGGTCCTATGGACTCACCCAGGAAGGACAAGGTGCAAATTGGGTAAGGAAGGTGGTGGCGGTCGCAGGGATAAATGGAGGGACTTGACCTGTCCCTTCTCCATTCCGCCCCCCACTTCCCTGCCTGAGAGCATGACCAGCAGCTGGCTGTCTGCAGCCCCCTCCCACAGCTCTCCCTGTCTCCAGCCTTGCCCTCCAGACCCAATCGCCCCCTGTGAGATGCTCTTAAAGTTCAGATGTCCCCACGTCACGCTTTGCTTAAGCCCAGAACATACATACGTTCGTGTGTGCATACAGCTCAGCCTCACGCAACACTGTTGTCTGTTGTTCAGAAGCCCACCGTTGAGCACAATGCCCGGCACACAGTAGGTGCTCAATAAATGTCTGATGAGTGAAGGTGTGACTGGGCCCCAGAACCAGCCACAGAAGCTGATTCTTCGGGGTGGGGTGGGCAGGAGTGGTATTTTTTGGCTGCAGAAACCAAAGAGATATTTGTGGGTAAGTAGACTCAGGGCCCCAGTGGTGAATCAGTGACAGACATACTACATGTTCTTGTAGCCTTGTTTTGAAACACAAATAAAACATTCCTGAATTCTGTTTTTGAATGGAAAAACAGTGTCAGTACCACACCATTGTGAGCTCTTGCTGTGAGCTACCGTAGCTCTGCCTGGAGCTCTGGAACTCTCCCTGGGTGAGTTTCTCCATCACCCTCGGGAGAGACATGCTGGGCACAGCATGTGCATTTGTCTCTCAGCCTCGTCCCTGCCTCTGACCCGTCTCTCTGTGTCTGCCCCGTCCTGCGTCCTGCCAGCATTGAGAGCAGACTGGACCTGAGGAAGACTCTCCAGTGCCAGAGCTTCAAGTGGTACCTGGAGAACGTCTATCCGGAACTCAGGTACCCGCCCTGCCTTCTGACTTGTCAGGAGAGGCCCTCAGCTGACTGGGTCTGGACAAGGGACATCCGTGGCCAGCCGGCTACGGGGTGTTAAGTATAGGGAGGTCTGAGGAGACCAGTTGGCTCCCCTTACTCCTGAAATCAGAAAGAGGAATTAAGTTCATCGGTAGCTTAAGGGCTGGAGGTTTGCTGAGGGAGGGAGGGCTGGAGGTTAGCAGCATTTCGCAGCTGCTGGGATTTGAGTCCCAGGTGCGACCTGACACTAGCACTGTCTCTGCGCCAGGCTCCATCTGCCATGGTGGCTCCTGGGTCTCTCCTCGCTGCCTTGTGCCCAGAGGCAGCGCCACCCCGGGCAAAATGCCCCTGACATCCTCAGAACCCTGCTTCTACCTCTCCAGTGGCTAGTGTCACTCAGCCAAAGGGCAGTTGGTTCTCACATCTCTGTGGCTTTCCTCCAGAATCCCCAGTGATTCCTCCATCCAGAAGGGCAGCATCCGACAGAGGCAGAAATGCCTAGAGTCTCAAAGGCAGAAAAACACGGAGACCTACAACCTCAGGTTAAGCCCCTGTGTCAAGAACAAAGGCAAGGATGTAAAATCCCAGGTACGTAACAGGCTAGGGGTGCCAGAACGTGTGCAGGGACTCCGCCTCCGCCACCTGCTTTTATATGACATCAGGTGTCCCGTTATACCCAGAACCTAGCCACAGAGCAGGAGAAGTATGACTTCTCTTCACTCTGGGACCCGCATCACTCCACTGGGTTTCCAGAGGTGTCGAGTTTCTCTGAAGGACAGAGATTCTCCTGCAGTCCTCTTTTCTCTCTTTCTTTGCTGGCTCCCCTGCCCCACTTTGATGGGTTTGTGGTGAGTGCTCAAGAAGGTTCTTAGGTCATTATTCTTTTCTCTGGAAACGGTGTCTTGGAGATTTTATCCAAGCTTCCAGCTTTGGCCCCACCCTCTCTTTGTTTCATCGATGCACAAATCCTAGTTTTCATCCCTCCACAAACTGATCCATTCACTCCATAACCATCTCAGTTCTCTGCTAACTGGGAAGACACGGAGATGAATGGCTAGGTCGCAGGTCTCTGTGGGCCCTCGGGGGATCGAACGCAGGAACAAACAAGTAAGCAGCTGTTCTGTTAAACTCTGTCCTGGATGGAGTTCAGTCCAGGCTGCTCTAGAAGCAGTGAGAGACGGTCTCCGCCATATGCACAAGAGTCAGGGACGTCCTCCTGGAGGACTTGATAATGAGCTGCATCCTGAGAAAGGAGTAGAAATAGGCCCTGTGAGGAGGGGGAGAAGGAGCAGCCCAGGAAGCAGAGCACGCGCGAAGACCTGGGCTGGGCTGGGCGGCCGGCGCGAGCCCATGGCCACCGCAGCATCGTCTGTGGTTCTAGTAGATGGACGGCTAGGAGCAGCGGCCCGGCACCACAGCCACCTCCCGTCCCACTCCTCTCTGTGTGACTATCTTCGTCCAAGCTCCATGGCTCCAATCCCCACTGTCTGCCCTGGCTCCGTTTTCTCCTGGTTGGCCTTCCTTAGCAGTGGTATTGGTGATGTTTTGGGCCCGATGGTTCTTTGTGTGGGAGGCTGTCCCTGCTCTAAGGCCCACCTAGCAGCATCCCTGGCCTCTGCCCCCCAGGAGCACCTCACATACGCCAGCCCTGACTAGCGAGCCGTCTCCAGGCTACACCAGACACCCCAGGGCCAATAAAACCACCCAGATTGGGGGGGTGCCTGGGTGGCTCAGTCGTTAAGTGTCTGCCTTTGGCTCCAGTCATGTTCCCAGGATCCTGGGATCGAGCCCCACATCGAGCTCCCTGCTCATTGGAAAGCCTGCTTCTCCCTGTCCCACTCCCCCTGCTTATGTTCCTGCTCTCACTATCTCTCTCTGTCAAATAAATAAATAAAATGTTAAAAAACAAAACAAAACAAAACAAAAAAAAAACCACCCGGATTGGCAACCACTGTGTTAGGTTCAAACCCCAGCCTCTAGTCCCTGCCCCTCGTCCCCCCGCCGACACATCACCATCAGACCATTGTTCTCCACCTCAATACAGCCTTCGGGGTGGGGGGGGCCCTGTGGCCTCCCTCAGAAACACACCCCCTGGCGTTCGAGGCCATGCAACCCCGGCCTCCCACTCACACTGACTTTTCCCAGACCCGTCTCAGCTCCAGCAGGACTTGGGAGGGGCTGCCTGAGCTGGACAGGAAAAGGGGAAGCCAGCAGAGGCCTCGGTCTGGTTTAGGGATGGCCACAGGCTGGGAACGGCACTGTTTACTCAAGTGGCATTTTATAAATCGTGAAGAGCTGAGGCATGTCCCTATCTTCTGAAGCCATGTGTGGGCGCTGTTCATAGGGGATCCCAATGGCCAGAATGTTGTCACCCCCCGATCTCTGAGACAGAAGCTTGCTCGACCTGCCTTCAGCGAAGCATTGGCTTTCCTGGTACTTAATGCCTTTGGCTGCACAAGGAAGTGGAAGGAGGGGAGCCATAGGATCTCTGGGCATCAGGGAGGGGCTCTCCAGTCTCCAAAAGATGCCAGGCCTTTATTTGACTGGAGAGTAATAGTACCCATTGCACCTGATCTTCCAATGGCACGAGAAAGGGGAGGAAAAGCAGTCATCTGTGGGAAACTAAGGGTGATCCTAGTAACAGTCTTTGAGTGAGCCAAGAGTCCTTTCTAAACGATAGGGCCAACCATCACTCCTTCTCGCTTTGGAGAGAACAGTTGGGTTTGCGCAGCAGGAGTGTAAATTCTGGGAAAATGGAAGAAGACTCTGAGATCGATGTTCCGCCTGCTTGCACAGAGGATAGCGAGGGCCCACGGTGCTCCTGGCCCCTGGCTGCGTGTCAGGGAACAGGGAGGGGCCGGGCTGGATTAGACTCAGCTCCCTTCTAAAGCGGCCCATGGCCAACCGCGGGGCTGGGATGCACATCCATGTTTTTTGAAGGTGTAAACCCGCTTTAGACGGATAGGAATCTACATAACTATTTCTGTTAGAGTAATCCCCGAGTGTACATGTGTGTGCATGTGCGTCTACACATGCGTGTGAGCGTACACCCTTGTAGGGCTGACCTGTTTACCTTTCTCGTCCTTTCAGTAGCTTCCCTCCTTCCGGCATAAGAAAGACAGTCCCGTCTTTGTGCTCGCCAGCCCTTTCTGCCACCGCGGTCGGGCTCCAGGAGTTCTCTCTCTCTCTGACCCTGCACTGCCTTCTTGGCTCCTCCTACATTCGTTTCTCCTCTTGCACAGCCTCTTGGCCTGTCCAGAAGGGGTCTCGTCTGTCCATATGAGAAGGGAAATGAGGGTCACACCCCATGTCAGGCCTGGGGAGGGGGCAGGCCAGACAGCAAGCCCCTCCCCAGCATTGATGGGAACTGGGGAAGATATGAGTGGAGGCCCACATTCTGGACTCCTTACCAGAGCAGGGTGGGGGTGGGGTGGGGAGCACACACAGCACCGGCTTCCAACCTGGGCCTGCTCCCCTCTACTTCCTGTCTCCCCACTCCCAGCCTGCATATCCACCTCGGTCACTCTCTTCTAAATAGTCCCTTTTGGGCCCAGCTGTGTGTTGTAGGGACTCAGTCTGCCTTTGGGAGGACTGACGCAGGGTAAGATCTACACGGATCCTGCAGTCCAGTTCAGGCCATTTGGGTGGAGGATTCCAGGGTTCCCAGATATCTGGAGTAAAAGAAAATCACGGGGTTCTAAGCCAACAGCTCAGAGTTGTGCTTCCCGCTGGCTACGTGCTCTCAGGAGTGTGTCCCCCCACCTCACGTCGGTGTCCTCATTGCTGAAAGGAGACAATCAGACCTCGGCCTCAGATGCAGGTTCACGCCCCTGCTCCACCCCCAGCCCATCCACCCCTACCCCTCTTCCTTGAGAGTAAGAGAAGTCTTACTTCTCTTCCTTGGCCAGCTTGTCAACCTTGGGAACAAAATGTTTAATCTTGCTATGTACGGAAGACGAGGGCAGGCTCTTGCCTTGGGTGGAGTACAAGAGAAATACATCATCAGTTTGCAAACCCACTAAGCCCAAGAAGCCTCCAGGTTAACGAGTTTCCCCTTAACTTTATTGGATTCTCTGGGAAAATTTATGTGTGTGAAAGATGGAAGGAAGACAGGTGCACCAGTCTCACTGCTATCCCCAATTTAAAGACAGGGAGGAAAACTTCACAGTGTGTTCATCTACCTGCATTCCGGGCAGTTTGGGCTCCTGGCTTGGGAAGGATGCATGTGGGCAGCTGGACATCTGGGTGGGCGAGAGAAGGTGGACCTCCTTCTCCAGGCCCAGCAGCCACTCCCCAGCTTGGCAGAGGACCCAACGACAGATTACTGGGTGTGGGGTTTTAATCATATGCATATAAAGTGTATCCTGACAGCTTGGGGCAAAGGGATAGGATGAACCAGAAATAAAAGACCCCAGCAGTGAGTCCAGCAAGGGTCCCAGTCAAAGGCAGGCAGCATGTCTCTGAGCCCGCTGGGTCTCCCTGCTGCTGCTGGTCAGCGGTGAGAGGCAGCACTCTGTGTCTGTGCAGCTGACACTGTCCCCAGCACAGCAGTCGGTGTGTTTGTATGGTCCTTTGGGAACTGGGCGCACCAAGAGCCTGGCTGGACTAAAGTGTAGCTTGCTCCCTCTCGTTTGTTGCAGACACCGTGTCTGAAGAGGGCTGCGGGGACATGTGTGGCCTAAATTCTTCAAGGCCTGTCAGTGTGACCTAAGTTCTTCAAGGCCAGTGGTGGCCCCAGATGCTCTCAGCTCAGGTCCAATCGCACCGAGAGGCCCGTGTTCATAGTCAGCCACGTGGTCTGCTCCTGGCGTTGCCCAGACTGACCCCCGCTCTCTGTTCCCTTCCATGAAGTGACACTCGCCTCGCAGGATCACTGTGAGGGTGAATGTGAAGCATCTAGAACCGGAGGCCCTCAGAAGTGAGCCAGTTTGCCCATCTAACCACAACACACCCAGCAGTGTTGCTTGGCATTTGGGGTCATTTCCCCATCGAGTGTAGTTCCCCACATAGAAGAGCGTGTGGACGGGTTGCTCACGACCATCAGTAACTGACTCAGGCTTCTGTGTTCATGAAAACACAGCCCCTGCCTTCTCCCCACGTGTGAATGTTTGTCCCCTCACCCAACCACAGCTCCTCCCACGTGTCACCAAAGCACTGTCCCCAGAGACTGTGCCGGAGCCAGCCACTGGGCTGCGGGTTCCACAGGCCTCATCTGGGTTAGTTATCCCAAGGCCCTCCGAGCCCTGTCCTGCTGGCCCCGCCGTCTCACAGATGCGGTAAGCGAGGCTGAGAGAGGCGGACCCGCGCTACCTGGGTCAGACAGGAGGAATGGCGGGCCTTCCGCTTCCAGGGACCAGGCCCTTCCCACGAGGCAATGGTGTTTCAACCCCAGCGCTGTTGGCATTGATACCAGATAATTCTGTGTTGTGGGGACTGTCTGGGCACTGTAGGGGTTTGCCAGCGTCTCTGGCCCCACCCACTGGGTACCAGTAACACAACCCTCCCTCCAGTCATAGCCATCAGAAAATCATGCCTCCAAATCAAAAAAAGGCCTCCAAACATTGGCACATAGTGGGTGGACAGACAGATGGACGGATGGTTGGATAGAAAACAGAAGCAAGATCAGCCCAGTCGAGAGCTGCCGCCCCAGGCTGGGTGCTTGTTGCCAGGATGGGTGCTGCGGCCTGCTTCATCCCAGCCCTCAAGACGCAGCTGGCTGGGCATTGCCCACAGAGGAGTCTCCCGCCCCCACCTGCCAGGCTGCTCCCTCCTCTACACGCAGGGGCTGTCCTTCAGAGACTCCCGCTAAGCACAGAAGGCCATTAACCTGTCCAGCCTGGACCACCCCGCCCCATCATCAGCTCCCCTCTTCCAGGGCAGGAGCAAAGGAGCTAGAGGACTAGGAGTGAACCTTCTCCTCAGCCCCTTACTGGCGTATCCGTGAGAGGGTGAGGCTGCCCATGCCGCCTCTGGGTTACCTCCCGTGGGTAGGGCCGTGTCTGTGCACTTGTGGGCCGGGGAGGGCTGTGAGTTGGCCAGACCCCCCTAATGAAGCAGTCAGCCCATGGCCCAGTGTACACTGATCTCTGCCGGGCCACCCTGAGCAGCCCCTGTTACCTTCCTGAATCCATTTCTGACTCTGGGATTCATTTAATAAACCCATTCATCACAGGCCATTCTGGAAGCCTGACAGGCTGCAGAGTGGGAATCGGAGAACCTCTCATCGCTCCCTGCCCCACCTGCTTCTGTGTTCTGCTTCCCTCGCTCCTGTCTTGCAGATGTGGCTAGAGAGCTGTGTTCCTCTGAGAAATTGTGAGACTGAATTAGTTCACTGCCAGTAAAGCACCAGCTAATGGAAAGTCCACTTGGTGTAAAGGCTTCCATCCCCCCTCTCTGCTTGTGCGCCTTCTCCCCTTGGGGATCTTAAGGTGATTTCTTCCGAGCCCGGCCCCACCCGGGTACCATCTGCGCTCCTTCCCGAAAGGCATTAGTGGGTGGCGCGTCTCAGATGTCAAAAGAAGGACCACTCCCCTCCCACCGTCACAGCACCCCCAGCACGTCCAGTGTTTAAAGCCCCTGGGTTTTTATAAAAGAAGAAATGCCAAGATGAGATTTTCAGAAATTGTGGTATATTTCAAGTGTTTATGTTTAATTAATGCTTTTAACATAAAATATGCAGAGCCAGTATATTGTAGTAATCAAAATAATTACAGGATTTATTTTTTAAATGCTAATTCATGGCTCACAGCAGCTGTGGGGGGTAATGGGTCAGAGAGATGGACCTTACCTTCTTGCCACATCTCTGACTGTTTAGGCTCATTTCTCGACAATGGCAGAAATCTAAAGCTGAGGCCGGTTGTATGGTGGGCCCGGGCAGCAGCGGGCTCCCTGACAGACCTGCCCTTGGACTCGGGCCTGGGCTTCAGGCCTCTCTCGCCCCTTCCTGTACGGAATTCTCTGGACACGCACCCAAGACCAGCTCCCACCTTCTAGATCACACTCCTAAAGACCAGAGCCCCAGAATCCCCCATCCAGATGGCCCTAGCCTGATATCAGGCCCTGCATGGATCTCCGGAGGGCAGACTGTGCCCCTAGCACACACTTAGGCCCGAAGGGGGCTTTTAAAGGAGAGTGGCCAAGCGAGCGTGGGTAAGCATATAGGGGAGCTGATGATGGGGCATGGAGCCAGGGTGGGGAGAAGAGGGGAGCAGGCCCGGGAAGCCAGCTGTGTGTGCCCCTCTGATGCGGAGTCTGTAGAATGCGGGCCTCCGTTCATACACTTCCCCAGTGCCCATCCATGTTGGGGAGGGGCCTGCTCTCTTGGCTGCCCCTTCCCTCATCCCCCACACAAGGTGTGACCTTTGTTCCCGGTCTTGTGGGGCTGCCAGTGGGAACTGGCTGGCTCTCTGCTGTGGAGGTGGAGGTGATCTATAGTGTTCTTGTTTACAACCCAGAAGAGGGAGCTCAGGGACAGGCATTACCTGTGATTAAACTGGGATAGAAGGAGCTGGGACTCTGGGAGCAGCAACAGCAAAGGAGCCAGAGAGAGTCTGTCGGAGAGAATTGTGTAATTTCTGTGAGCCTTTCGTCATGCAGAACGGGAACGATAATAATAATACCTATTTGGGATTCTTATGAAGGACAAGATTCTTATGAAGACTAAAGTCATCTGTGCTAAGCCCCCAGTACAGCGCCTAGACATAGTCAGTGCTCAGGAAATGCTGGCCATCGGTAACAAGCTTGTGATTACTGCATCACCTCTGTGCACACAGACACTTTCCCTTTCAGCTAATCCTGGAGGGAAGGAAATGGCATGCATAGCATGGTGTTGTTCAAGTCCGGAGGAGAACTTCTTGATACGTCCCAAGGAGCACATTTCATTACATTTAGTATTAAAAAATTTAAATAGATATAGATCTAGAACTAGATGGAAGAGTAGCCTGTAGCCATCCCTAGGCTTCAGGAATTCTCAGCTCACAGCCGGTGTTTTATCCATCCATATTTCCATCCCCTCATCCCCCAGGGAGTCCCTTCTGGTCTAGGTCTTCTTCCAACACTGGCAGTTTGAAAAGGGACATGAGAATACACATGCAGGACAGTGGCTCCCCCTGGGCTGGTGGCACCATCCAGGCGTCAGGGACAGAGAAGGTCCCAGATCAGGAGAGGCAGGGTTCTGCTTCCAGGTGGTCCGGTGAGGCAGCAGAAGGATGCAAGCCTGGAGGCAAGGAGGGGGACAGGCCAGGGCACAGAAAGAACATCGAAGATGTCACCAGATGGCGGAAGTCAGGAGGGATGCAGGGGCCAGAGGGGGGCTGCCGTGAGCTAGAGAATGTGCAGAATGAGGAGCACGTGACAACAGTCCGCTTAAGGAACACGTGGGCCTAGAGTAAGGGCCCCAGCTAAGGGGCCCTTTTTTCATTCTCGGGCCAAGGAGAAGTAGCTGACCAGTGGCCTGGTCCAGAGGCTGAGGGTCAGCTGGCCAGCAGGCGTGGAGTGGAGAAGGTGTCCGGCACTTGACGGTTCCTCTGCAGCTCTCCCCAGGGTATCCAATTCACCGGTCACCTTCTTTGCCCCATGGTAAGGCTCCTACTTACAGCCTGGAAGAGACCTTATGGAGGCTTCCATTTTTGTCCTTCTGACCTAAGAACTCGAAATACTTTGGGCGCCTTAGCAGCTTGTCGCTCTCTGATCTCTGGCATTGCATGGAATAATGGAGAAACATTCTTTGCAATGACCCTCAGATGAAATGCCCCTTTCCTCTCCCCACACTCCTTGTCCATGGACTTTCTCAGCTTCCCTCCCTGCAGGGGCTCTGGGGCCCAATGTTCTATTCTCCTGGAGTGCTGGCGTGCACGCATCTGTGGGGATCATGTTCTGTCCCGTGACCTGCTCTCCCTCTGCTCTTCTTCCACTCCCTCCCTCGGCACACTCCCTGTTACCTCCGTCCTCACATCTGCCTCTTACGATAACACTCCTGTTCTCAAGCCACTGATTGGACTCCTTTTCAAAGAAGGAACGTTCTAAAGACAGCTGGGGGTGGCCTGCCGCGCAGCTGCTTGCACTGTCAAGGGTGGGCAATGGACACACATCCAAACAGAGAAACTAGAGACCCCACGGCTGGGCTGGAGCATTGTTCAGGCTTCCCCGCCTCAAGCCCAGAATTGTTCAGCAGCCCCCAGAGGTGGCCTGTGTGCCCAGGCTGGTCCCTTCCCAGGTGTGGGGATGGAGACTTCAATGGGGACATGACTTGGGAGTTTCTGGCTAGTGGTCCCATTTTCCAAGGCGACCTTGTTGACAGTCTCTTCCTGCTGGGACCTCCAGTGCTTTTTACTCTAATTCTCACATAATCCCAGATGTGTCTCACGAGGTTTCCAAGGATCCTAATGTGAAACTTCTGGCCTCTTCCCCTCCAGATATGGGCCTTCACATACACGCAGCAGATCCTCCAGGAGGAGCTGTGCCTGTCCGTCCTCACTGTGTTCCCAGGCGCCCCGGTGGTTCTTGTCCTCTGCAAGAACGGAGATGACAAGCAGGTGAGAGATCGGCGGGTGCCTACAGGGCGTGGTCGCCTTCAGTGACAGGCAGTCCCGTGTAGGTCCAGGTCTCGTGTGCAAGACCAGAGAGAAACTCTAGAGGTGGAGGGGCTGATCAGAAAGAGGCCCTTCTGGTTAGGGGATGAGGGCAGGGGCACCAGCAGCAGCGGTCAGCTTGGCCCTGGATGCCTGTGGACTGGCAGGGCCCCAGTGGGCATGCGCACCTTGTACTTGCCTGTCCAGTGCCGACAGCAACCTGGCATCCCTGAGCAGGAAGGCATAGGGGCAAAGCCTTCAGGACCGCAGGATGAAGGGGGGCCTTGGGCCCTGGCAGGATGTCCACTCTGGGTGTGCCCTGTGCCCTGTCGGGCCTAAGCTGTTGACCCCATGCAGTCACCTGCTCACTGGGCATTGGCATTAGAGAGACAGACATTCAGATGCCATTGTCTGGCTCACCGGCCGTGTGACTGGACTTGGTTTCCTTCCTCTCTGAAATGGAGGTGATGAAGCCCACCACACGGAGCAGCTGTTGAGAGAGATTAACGGAAGTGGGCCTTTGTCCCTGTGCCGTGGTAGCTCCCCAAACCATGTTTGTCCCCTCCTTCTTTGTCACGTGAGGTAAAGTCTCAGGGGGCAGCGGCACAAGACCCCTCTCTCTGTTTGGGTCCTTTGTGTGCCGAACGGCTATGGAGGAGTCCAGGCTGCTGGCCTCGGGTGCTGTCCAGAAGCCCCACTGCCCTCCTGCGCCCCTCCCCCGCTCGCTCCCACATCTTCCCGATGTGCAGACACTGACCGCACATTGTTTCTTTGGTTGTTCCCATGACTCACGTGCTTCCTGTTCTCTGGCCTGTTGCTTGGAAAGTTATTACCTTCTAATGAGTTTTCCTACCAGACATACTGATTTTGCTTTTACTTTTTTATCCAAAAACAAAAAACAAACCAAAAACCAACAGCAATGCCTAGAAAAGCAATTAGTTGCGATTTTATTCCTCCGTGAGACCATGAAAGTCAAGTCTCTGGGCGACCCTAGCCATGGGCTGTAAACATGCCTAATTGTTGTAGAACTTCTGACATCATGGGTAGAACCTGGGCCCTTAGCCAGAGAATCCTGGTTCATGCTCTCTCCTCTCCGTCTCCTCAGCAATGGACCAAGACTGGTTCCCGCATTGAACACATCGCGTCCCATCTCTGCCTAGACACGGACATGTTTGGTGATGGCTCTGAGAATAGCAGGGAAATCGTGGTCAACCCGTGCGAGTCATCACTTCTGAGCCAGCACTGGGACCTGCTGAGCTCTTGAGGACCCGAGCCCGAACCAGTGGAGCTGTGGGTGCCGTTTCCCCGGATGCCAAGCAGACTGGAAATCAGGCTACAAGCAGCCCACAGCTTCCGTAGATGATCTGAACTGGGAGGTGGAGGCAGAGCCCCCGGGCAGGAGCAGATGTCTCAGGGAGGATGGAGGAAGGGATTGCAAGCCAAGTGGGGCTCAGAGACAGATACCCGTGTTCTCCATGCTGTTCTATTCCAGTCCTGGCCTGGTCGGCTCCTGCCTGAGATCTGGGGAGAGAGCTCACACGGGGAGTGTTACGTTGTTCCCTTTCCTACAGAGGAGGCCAAGGAGAAAAGCATTTTTTGTGACGAGGCCGGGACTAAATTGAGAGAGAAAGAATAGAGGTTGTTTTCAAAACAAATAAAGGAACCTTAGAAGTTTTCTCTGTGCATCTCTTTGTTTCCACTACTGTTAGCACCGCGCTGAGCTGAGTTCTCCATTCAGAGGGGACGCTGGCTGCCATGACAGGCCGTGTGAGCTTAAAAAGACGCACAACTTCTCTGGCCCTTCATCTCCCAGTACGTTACGTTGGGGAACAAGAGCAGATCCGTGGTTCTTACCCAGGATTACAGTCTCTTACCTGGAGAAATCATGTCTGTTCAGGGCTCCAGGTTCCTGCTTCAGGAGATCCCAGCGGGGTCCAGACTCCTCCGCTGATTCTTTTTTTTTTTTTTTAATAGTTGTTTTTTTTTAAGATTTTATTTATTTATTTGACAGAGAGAGAGAGATCACAAGTAGGCAGAGAGGCAGGAGCGGGGGGTGGGGGAAGCAGGCTCCCCGCTGAGCAGAGAGCCAGATGTGGGGCTCGATTCCAGGACCCCGAGATCACAACCGGAGCCGAAGGCAGAGGCTTAACCCACTGAGCCACCCAGGCGCCCCTCTTCAGCCGATTCTGATGCCCCGTTCCACTTTCTGGTTGGAACCACTGCCCTAAATGTCTCCGTGGGCCCTCGTGGCTTTATAGTCTATGGCCACTAGCAGGGTGTTTCTTACTCTAATAAATCCCTACTGTGTCCTGGGAATTGGGTACTGTGTTTGTCCACTCTTATTAGCTAGGGTTTAAGAAAAGAACCAACCCAGGGGTACCTGGGTGGCTCAGTGGGTTAAGCCTCTGCCTTCAGCTCAGTTCATGATCTCAGGGTCCTGGGATTGAGCCCCACATCTGGCTTCCTGCTCAGCCGGGAGCCTGCTTCTCCCTCTGCCCCTCCCCCAGCCCATGCTCATTCTCTCTCTCTCAAATAAATAAATACAAATCTTTAAAGAAAAAAGAAAAAAGAACCAATCCACATAGTTGAAAAATTCCCAAAATAAGCCCCTACATTCTTTGCCGAGGTTCATTTGCCACAAGCTCTTTGGGAATGGTCTTAGTTATCTGCTGCTGAGTGACAAATGACACCCCCCAAAACAGCAACTTAAAGCGACACATATTTGTTCTCAAACAGTTTCAATGGGCCAAGAATCTAGGCACAGCTTCGTGGGATCCCCGGCTTCAGAGCGACTGAAGAGACTGCAGTCAAGGTGTTGTCAGGGGCCCTCGTCATCTCAAGGTTCAACCAAGAGGCTCTATCCCAGGCTCACTCCGTACTTGTTGGCGGCATTTGGTTCGCACGGCCTGCTGACCAGAAGCCGCCCTCAGCTCCGTGCTATGCAGGCCTCTCCAGCCTACCCACTCAGTTGACCAGAGCAAGCAAGTCCAGGTGCAAGAGATGAGGATGCCAGCAAGATGGAAGTTACCGTCTTCTAGAACCTAATCTCACAATAGTCTGTCCATTGCTTTTACCACCTTCTATGAGATATAAGCAAACCACTAGGCTCGGTCCACACTTAAGGGGAGGGAATTACACAAGAGAGCTGATGCCAGGAGGTGGAATCATTGGGAGCCATTTTGGATTCTGGTTGTCACAGTAACTACTAGGCCCTACACAGGTGTCTGTCTCCTCTCCATCCAGAAAGCCTTCAGTGAGGGCCATGTTCAAGCTCATCATTACTGAGGACTACTGCAGGGTAGGAAGTCACAGGCCGAGTGTGCACACCCAGAATCTTCTCTACAGGTTGTATTTGTTTATACTATCTTCTTATGATCTTCTTTAGTTATGATTTGGCTCTTTTGTGGGGTTATTTCATTCCCCGCTATGGAAAGGAGAGGAGGCCATGGGATAGATAAAGACATCTATTGAAGAAGAGGTCGGATGGTTCCTTGAGCTATGTCCACAGGGTTTATCTGGCCTTGCAGAGAAGGAAAGTCCAGATAGGTTCAACAGCACCCCTCCCTTGAGTAGGGGAAACAGGCACCGCACTAAGAGAACCCAAGGACCCGATGCCCTCGCCCATTCTTAGTCTCCGTCTGTGTCTCTGCCTGTCCTTGAGTTCCCTGGTGGCAGCAAGGCTGTTGCTTGCCTTATTCCCACCACTGGGCTGGGCACATTAAGCTCTCAGTGAAAGCTTTCTTAAATGGATGATTGGAAAAACTCTTCCTTGCCCAAAATGAAGTAACTTTACTCACATTTTACTACCCCTAAAAAGTTACAGAGTGTAGGAGGCTCTAAGTCCCTTCTCGATCACCCAAGGAAATGGGGAAACATCCCAGGAAGACAAACATTTTTTATCTGGGCTGCTTTGATGTGGCCAACGAGCTAGTCCTCAGCAATGCCATTGACTTCAGCCATCCTTCCGACCTCCCTCTTACTAGTGAAAGGTCTTGGGATAATAATGCAGCACGTGGACAACAATCCACTAATGGAGATGTGGACGGTTCCCATGTGAGCTATAGGGCATATGTCTTAAGGCTCCTCTAGCCGATTGTAGGGGTGACAACTCTGATGAGACAAACAGGAATCCTGACAACCATGTAGAGTTACCTGTTCACTAAGCTGTTGGTGGTGAGGCCAAAGCAAGAGTAATTTACAATTTGAAAGCAGAAATAACAGTAGTTCCAAAACTCCCCCAGCACAAGACAATGCTGACGAGGCCCTCACGGGACAGTGACCTGCTCTATCGTGGCCTGCAGTTGCATAGCTGACTGAGTGTGGTCAAGCTTTGCCTGTGGTCAAGTCTTTCAGTGGATGCTGAACAGAGCCCTCAGTCAACTTGATCATTGAATTTGGTGCCAAATTTCATCAATCTGGAATAGCTTGCTCAGTAGGCCACCAGTAGTCATAGGTGAAAGTAAAAGTTTGTCAAATGACATCAGACTATGAAAACAGAAGGGACCTACACTCTTCATATTCTAAAGGCTCACAAAATTGAGACCCCAAGCTTGGGATCACTACCCTGGAATAGCCTCACCACATTGCCCAGTGAGGAGGTGACCAGGTATGACAGAAGCCCCGTCACCTTGGATCACATCTGGCTAGTGGACTCAGATACAAACAATAAGGGCTGCTAGGGGGCACCTGGGTGGCTCAGTCAGTTAAATGTCTGCTTCTAGCTCAGGTCATGATCTCAGCATCCACAGGGAACCTGTTTCCGCCTCCCCCCTCTGCCTGCTGCTCCCCCTGCTTGCACTCTCACTCTCTGTCAGATAAATAAAATCTTTAAAAAAAAGGGGGGGGGCTGCTAAGTTATCTTACTGGTGTTTGTGCAAATTAAATGGGAGGGATTTTTATACATTTGTTTTTTATATATACTGGAAAGAAAAGAGGCAGGGGCTCTGGGCATGCTCAAGTGTCTGGATTAGAGATGGAAGGATGATGATATCGAGTGGACGGGCAGAAATGGGAGCTTTTGGATAATCCTGGAAGCAGCATAGGTGATCAAGCTGGTGGGCATATCGAATCTGAGCCTTGCTCTCTTGCCAGTTTATTTCCTTATGTGCCGTGCAATTCCTTCGTGTGAGCTCATCTTCAACAGGAATCATTTTCTCTGGGCATCCCAGGTGGCTGGGTTGTGGAGGCATTTGTCAGGGAAGGTTTGAGTCTGCCTCTGTTGGTTCTCATTGACTTTAAACTAGTTTATACATTGATTTCTCTGATTGTGGCTTCCACTCTATAAAAGTAATGGGAATTTGGACCCCACATCTACACTTGGCACCAGCTTGATTTCCGATATTTTGCAAATTATCTTTTCCCTACCCCAGTTATTGTCCTGCTGTCATCCCATCACCATTCGCCCAGCTGGTGAGTGGGGACTATTACCCTTATAAGCCACCAACTGTATGTAGGGTCTTGTTTCTGGTCCCAGCCACCCAGGAGTCCGTGGCCTTCACATCTTGCCTCTTCTTGGGGTTGGAACCCCAGCCATCTGGATTCAGTTCCCCTTCAGCTCACACTCACCACCCTGGCTTTGAATTTGCACTCATTTTTTAAATCTGGGATTTCCCATTCCTTTCAAGTGCAGCTGCAATTTCAAATTGTTTTATTGTATTTTATACAATATTTACATATGTGTGTGGGAGGGGGCTGCCTATATCCGCTCAGACCAAAATTCCTTAGTGTTGTAATTAGCTGTCACCACTGTCTTTCCTGCTGGCTGTGGGACACCATATCTTAGTGCAGACACTCAATAAATTTCTGTGAATGAGTGAGAGAATAAGCCTCTGATTCTTTAGTACCACTTCCTAATTACCTCCTGGCTATAGCTATCAGACATTAGGGCTTTAAAAAGACAGCAAAGACAGAAACGGAGGACCAAGAAGACAAATTTATAACAATGAAATCTTGTTATAATACCCATAGATTTAGGGATCATGCATATTTTACTTCGTAATGACAGAATTTAATACTGAAAGTGCTAACTGGAAAGAACTATCAGTAATGGAAATCTTTAATACTGCCATAGAGCCCAGCAAGAGAGAAACTGTTCTCATAAACTCTGGGGGATGGTGATAGAAGAGTAGACGGGCAGCGCCTGCCTTTCATCTGCAAGAATTTCGGGCATTTTCCCCGGCAGCTGGCAGCGTGAGTCCTGGCTGGCCTTCACGGACAGGCTCGCCCTTGATCTCTGGTCCATGTGGCTTACCTCTACAGATCTAAGGCCCCCTCCTTCCCCCACTCCACACGCTGAGCCACTGCCCACCACACACCCCTGGAGACCCAGTGCCCTAACCTGTCCGTTCCCTCAGCAGGCGACCACAGCCTGGGCAGCGGCAGGCTCCCAGATGAGACAGTGAAGGTTTGAGGGTTCCAGGACAAGTCTAGCAGCTGCGTGGACGCGGAGGCCTCTGGGGCCTCGCAGGGGGCAGGCGGGAGCCTCTTCTCTCCAACACTCAGAGCCAAACCTCACAGGCTCCCTGGTGGTCCGAGGTCTCGGGCAGCCCGACTCGGATTAGCACCCTCCGAAGCTCCGAGCGCTTTCCCATTTGCCATGGAGCCGACTAATTTAATGAAGCCGTCACAGCGCACACCTCAGGGCTTATTGGAAAAGGACTGGAGCACGACATTATTTCTCAGCAGTAGATTGCATCATTTTCATTTCACGGCTTTCCAATGGGAAATAATAAAACAAAATTACAAACATAATGAAGAAAGAAAGGAGGGGAA